TTCACCCAGTTCTCCTCTGAATCATTTAGATGTTCATTGGCAAACTTCAGACCGGCATGTACAGTGAGGGAAAAAAGTATTTGATCCCCTGCTGATTTTGTACGTTTGCCCACTGACAAAGAAATGATCAGTCTATAATTTTAATGGTAGGTTTATTTGAACAGTGAGAGACAGAATAACAACAAAAAAATCCAGAAAAACGCATGTCAAAAATGTTATAAATGTATTTGCATTTTATAGAGGGAAATACGTTTTGTGTTGGTTATGATGATAATACAGCATTCCTCCTCCTCCAAACACGGCGAGTTGAGTTGATGCCAAAGAGCTCGATTTTGGTCTCATCTGACCACAACACTTTCACCTAGTTCTCCTCTGAATCATTCAGATGTTCATTGGCAAACTTCAGACGGGCCTGTATATGTGCTTTCTTGAGCAGGGGGACCTTACGGGCGCTGCAGGATTTCAGTCCTTTACGGCGTAGTGTGTTACCAATAGTTTTCTTGGTGACTATGGTACCAGCTGCCTTGAGATCATTGACAAGATCCTCCCGTGTAGTTCTGGGCTGATTCCTCACCGTTCTCATGATCATTGCAACTCCACAAGGTGAGATCTTGCATGGAACCCCAGGCCGAGGGAGATTGACAGTTATTTTGTGTTTCTTCCATTTGCGAATAATCGCACCAACTGTTGTCACCTTCTCACCAAGCTGCTTGGCGATGGTCTTGTAGCCCATTCCAGCCGTGTGTAGGTCTACAATCTTGTCCCTGACATCCTTGGAGAGCTCTTTGGTCTTGGCCATGGTGGAGAGTTTGGAATCTGATTGATTGATTGGTTCTGTGGACAGGTGTCTTTTTATACAGGTAACAAGCTGAGATTAGGAGCACTCCCTTTAAGTGTGCTCCTAATCTCAGCTCGTTACCTGTATAAAAGACACCTGGGAGCCAGAAATCTTTCTGATTGAGAGGGGGTCAAATACTTATTTCCCTAATTAAAATCCAATCCAAAATTTTTTACATGCGTTTTTCTGGATTTTGTTGTTGTTATTCTTTCTCTCACTGTTCAAATAAACCTACCATTAAAATTATAGACTGACCATTTCTTTGTCAGTCGGCAAACGTACAAAATCAGCAGGGGATCAAATACTTTTTTCCCTCATAGCCTCCCTACTGTTATTTTACTGCTGCTCTTTAGTTATTTGCTTTTATTCTTTAAATAAAAAATAATAATAATAAAAGACATTGTTGGTTAAGGGCTTGTAAGTAAGCATTTCACTGTAATGTCTACACCTGTTGTATTCGGCGCATATAACATTTGATTTGATTAACAGGAGAGGTAGACGGGGAGAGCGAGAGGAAGGGGTTGTCCAGAGTTATGAGCTGAACATAACAGTTTGCCAGTGGAAGGGAGGACAGTAGCAGGTGACCCAACTGTGGTTTGACTACTATTATCATTTCCCATTTTAGGCTATTCAATTGCAATCATTCTGTCACAGATTTTTCGGTCATTCTGTTACAAATTTCATTTTAATCACTTAATAAATCATAAACAAAATGATCAGTAAAAAACACTAACTGGTAGGTCTACCTTTTACTTGTTACTTCGTGAACTTTCATTATCCTCCTTCCTCATGAGGGAGAGAAATTAGAAAATATCTTAAAGATATCAGAATCACCTTTATTCGCCAAGTATATTTGCACATACTCAGAATATTACTTGGTGATATGGTGCTGATAGTGATAGACAACATTCAGAGACAAAATACAGGCAGCAAAGCTTAAACAAAGTTTGCATACATTACATACAGATATGTGTTGTTGTAACAGAATTACAACACACTAGGCAATATTTCTTAACCCTTTACACTAGTAACTAGTAAAAATCGATACAGTCACATATCGGGATATTGTTTTTGACTATGTATAATTTTGACAATACCGCAATATATTTTTGAGCTAGTTTGCTGTAACTGCAGCAAAACTCCAGTATTTTTCCTTCATAGCTTGTAGATCCATCTTCTTTTTAAATAGGGAGCCCATTTGTTTTCAGCACTTATTTCCATGACCTGATCAAACTCGTTTTGTCATGGTCCTCTTTTGTCCCTCTGCAGCAGACATATTGTGAGCAATATGTTAGGAACATTGAATCGCAATACATATAGAATCGTGAGAATCTCAATACATATTGTATCACCACCTAAGTATTGTGATATTGTATCGCTATTCCCAGCCCTACTTTACACTTGTATACGGGTTGAAAATGGCAGATTTGGACACTGATAAGTGCCTAAATTGGAACGCAGACAGTAGCTGTATAGTAACATGCTATACATGACATCCGAGCTCAGGATCTCCACTTCACAGCACTGTATCGGTTATGACTGACAGCCGATCTGAAGTTGCTCCCCATCCCGCTAATTGGGCAATTTTTGCAAATGTTTTGATGTCTGAGTGAGGGAAATGCTGTAAATTAAGAGGACTCTATGTATTTAAAAAAAAAGATGAGTCATGGAGGATTATAATAAATACCGCTTTGATGTCATGCAAGCCAAACACCCATGAGTCCAAGTGTGCACTTCACATCATAAAATGCATGTACTGTAATATACACTGAGCGTACAAAACATTAAGAACACCTTCCTAATATTGAGTTGCACCCCTGAGTTTGTACACTCAGTGCACGGTGTCAACGTTTATGATCACTGTTTTATGTATCCTGGGTTTCCCTGAACAGAATTAGTTTGTTTGTTGGATTGTCAAGACAATTTGCCGTGGACCACGCATCTGAAGGCACTCATGACTCCATTCTGTGCACACCAAAATTAGTCTGCTTCTCTGAATTGCCTTGTGAAAGCCTAATACTGTAAGATCGTATTTTATAATTTAGCTAGTCATGTGTGCAATAGATCAAGCTTTCAAATAATGCCCACTTGACCCAGATTGCGATTTAATCAGGCTGTTTTTGATTGTGTAAACAACAGTAATTGTGTGATGGCAGGGATGCACGGCTGAGTTCCAAACAAAGGTGTGTTTGCTCTAGTTCCTTAACGGCACAGCTAGGAGAGCTAGTTGAAGTCTCTTCTTTCAGTCATAAGTGCATTGAAATTACTTAAGAACTGTGCACACTTTGACTTCTCAATTTTTTTGTCTTATGTTTCACCTTCCCCAAATGTCCCAAGGATATTCTTATCATGTTACTGAATTTATCCAGAGTATTTTCAGATCAACAAATGCGGCGAAAAGAACAGTAAATCGCACATAAAATCAACAGTGTAATGTTTGGATTCAGTCTTGTCATGTGAACTGTTGTCCTCACCTTTTAATCTAATCATTTTCCCATTATCTCCTAACTGTTCCCTTTTAATTGCTACCACGGTTATGCATAATTTCAGCAAAATTAAATATAAATGTTGATATTAGTTGGTAAGGGTCATAATATTATTGTGTTTCGATGTACAGTACCAGTCAAAAGTTTGGACACACCTACTCATTCCAGGGTTTTTCTTAATTTTTTACTATTTTCTACATTGTAGAATAATAGTGAAGACATTAAAACTATGAAATAACACATGGAATCATGTAGTAACCAAAAAAGTATTAAACAAATCAAAATATATTTGAGATTCTTCAAAGTAGCAACCCTTTGCCTTGATGACAGCTTTGCACACTCTTGGCATTCTCTCAACCAGCTTCATGAGGTAGTCACCTGGAGTGCATTTCAATTAACAGGTGTGCCTTGTTAAAAGTAAAGTTGTGGAATTTTTTTCCTTAATGCGTTTGAGCCAATCAGTTGTGTTGTGACACGGTAGGGGTGGTATACAGAAGATAGTCCTATTTGGCAGAAGACCAAGTTCATATTATGGCAAGAACAGCTCAAATAAGCGAAGAGAAACGACAGTCCATCATTACTTTAAGACTTGAAGGTCAGTCAATCGGGAAAATTTAAAAAACTTAGAACATTTCTTCAAGTGCATTTGCAAAAACTATCAAGCGCTATGATGAAACTGGCTTTCATGAAGACCGCCACAGGAAAGGAAGACCCAGTGTTACCTCTGCTGCAGAGGATAAGTTCATTAGAGTTACCAGCCTCAGAAATCGGCAATTAACTGCACCTCAGATTGCACCTCATGGTCGAATTGCTGCAAAGAAACCACTACTAAATGACACCAATAAGAAGAAGAGACTAACTTGGGCCAAGAAACACGGGCAATGGACATTAGACTGGTGTAAATCTGTCCTTTGGTCTGATGAGTCCAAATTTGAGATTTTTGGTTCCAACCGCCGTGTCTTTGTGAGACGCAGAGTAGGTGAACGGATGATCTCCGCATGTGTGGTTCCCACCGTGAAGCATGGAGGAGGAGGTGTGATGGTGTGGGGGTACTTTGCTGGTGACACTGCCTGTGCTTTATTTAGAATTCAAGGCACACTTAACCAGCATGGCTACCACAGCATTCTACAGAGATATGCCATCCCATCTGGTTTGAGATGGTTTGGGATGAGTTGAACCGCAGAGTGAAGGAAAAGCAGCCAACAAGTACTCAGCATATGTGGGACCTGTTGGAAAAGCATTCCAGGTGACTACCTCATGAAGCTGGTTGAGAGAATGCAAAGCTGTTATCAAGGCAAAGGGTGGCTACTTTGAAGAATATAAAATATATAACACTTTTGGTTACTGCATGATTCCATATGTGTTATTTCATAGTTTTGATGTCTTCACTATTATTCTACAATGTAGAAAATAGTAAAAATAAAGAAAAACCCTTGAATAAATATGTGTACAGACTTTTGACTTGTGGTATAGTAGATGTTTTCTAAGACCCCTTTTCCATCTGTTTGACCAGAAATCAAAGCCTTTGATTATTCAAATTTTACGATGGAAATGTTTGGGGAAAAAAAAAAATATATATATATATATATATATACACTCTTAGCTTCCATTTGATGCCAAATTTGTTGTGCTCCTATGAACTTCACGTTGGTGCACATGGGTCCTTTTACATGGAAATGACCGGAGGACATAAGGAGATGCTGGTGATAATGACTGAGGAGCAGTGTTGGCGGGGTGTAGGCTACTGTTCCTTATCTGCAGTACTGGATCAGTCAAACTATAAGTGAGTCCCAGTGCCTTAGACTAAACATGGGATATTGTCCTGCAGGAATGCCAAAAAACATGTAGAGACGGAAACTGACTCTCTCCCCTCTTGAGCCTTATGGCCCAGAAACTAACAAGGCTCTAGTTGGTCTTGAGGTTCCCTCTCATTTCTGGTTTTCTTGGGTTGTGAAGACAAAAGATTCACTTCTGTAATTTCTGTCCTGCTCAACCAGCATTTCCTTGTCAGTCACATGATTAGTCTACATAAGTTTGTCAAATGGGCATGAGTAAGGAGATGGGAGTGATGTGAAAAGGAGAGAGTATTGAGTAGGCCTATCTCTAGATCCAATCCAAACACACTATACTCCTGTCTGCAGCTTTCAAAAGGGGAGTGGTTAGGCTATTTGTTCAGCGTTGTTAGTAATAATTTTGCTCAGCCTGGGCTATGCCCATATCTGGCTGGATTTTCTTTGGTAATACTGTACATTTCTCAAATTCCAGTCAAGGTGTTTATTTATTTCACCTTTATTTAGGTGTGGTTACGTATAGGCGACAGTATTTACATGGAGCTGTTTGAGTCCAGATGGCTTTGGCTTTGCTGGATGACCAGGTGGTGGCTCAGTATCCGTCCATCCATTCCCAACAGCTGCTGCTTTCAGCTTGAGCAAGCACAACACTGAGACCACTCACCCTAGTGTAGGCCTATCTGTGCGGGTGCGTTCCCCTCCCCCCTCTTCTCTGGCACTGCTATGTCTCAGAGAGTGAGAGAGCAGTGTGAAAATGTGTAAAACATAGCAGTTTTTCACTGTCAAATCTCGAAGTCTGCTCCAATAAAGAATGGATTGTTTATTGGAGTAGTTCATGGCTGTGCTTTGGAGATCTGAGGTCCTTTGTTTGAACAATATCAACAGTGTTTTAGAAGAAAATGAAGAATGGTGCTGCTCCCTATTGGGTGCATAGGTCAGCCACTGGGCATTGAAGTCAGATTTATTTTTTAAGTTTATAGCCTGAGTCTTGTGATTATTTGTACGTGTTTTAAAACGTATTTCTTCTCACTCTTTTTCTTTCAGAGCACAAGGTTATTATTGTGGGCCTGGACAATGCGGGGAAGACCACCATACTTTACCAGTTGTAAGTATTTTGCCTACGGTTAGTAGATACAGATAGGTCTATAGAAGGGGAAAACCGTGGTACAACAACAACAGTAGACACATTTCCTCTCACAACTAGGGGGGATTTCATCATGTTTATTTTTCTGCTAAATGAGAAATAGTGACCTTAGCTTAAATACCTTTTGGCTAACCCACTTATGGAAGAATGTGATACAATAGGGAATAGATTTACAAAATTACCTGTTGACAACCTCAATGTTCTCATGCCTACCAACATTCTCACTGACTTGATTGTTGTTTTGCATTGAAATTGATAACCTCCTTTTGTGCTTGTGTTTGCAGTTCTATGAACGAGGTGGTCCACACATCTCCTACAATAGGCAGCAACGTGGAGGAGATAGTGGTGAACAACACGCACTTCCTGATGTGGGACATCGGAGGACAGGAGTCACTGAGATCCTCCTGGAACACGTACTACACTAACACAGAGGTCAGACCACGTACTGTGGATGGATGGCAGTTGTTTTTTGAACTGTTAGCTTGTGTGTGTCTTGAATTAAATTAGGCAGTCTGGTAACATGTAACAAAAACTGCTCAACAATATTGCTATGTAATTACATTGTTATTACCTAGATATAAGAGCAACTTAATGTAAACTGTTACGACTGTCTTTTTAATGTCCTTTCTTATGTCTCTCCCAATCTTTCTCTCCAGTTTGTGATCGTAGTGGTGGACAGCACAGACAGAGAGAGAATCTCTGTCACCAAAGAGGAGCTCTACAGAATGCTTGCACATGAAGTGAGTTTTGGTGTTCTTGGCCATGTTTTATAGTGCACACTGCACACAATATTTGTGTCAACGTAGAATGAGTTCAATATAACAAAATATTTTTATAACTAAGATAGACCACAGCCTGTTGTTTCCAGTGGGAACAAATTAGTAATAGTGGGCAGAACAAGCAAGGAAGTGGGCAGAGCCAAGCACGAGCTAGCGAGATCCTATTGGCGTGTTCTAGCAAACATTTGCATATTTCCGTTCCGGAACGCCTACTCTGTGAAGTGCGCGTGTGCAATAACTCAATTTGCCTTTGCACTCCTTATAAACACACCATTTTTTTAAAACTTTGGCAAAAGGTAAAGTCTACAAAACTTTGTCCATTCTGTTTGAAAAATATTCTAGTTTTGGGAACAGAAAACTGTATTGAGATTAAATGGTTTATTAATGAGAAAATTTGCAGAATGTCGGCCAAAATCCATCTTGTTCCATCTTCTCCCGCTGCCGGCCACTGGGCTTCCTCTCACTACCATATTTGGTAGTGAATGGAAACGCCAAGCGGATGCTTGACATTTATACGTCCAGTGAAATATCTGTCTCATTGTTCTATCTGTGATATAACCCTCAGCCTAGCAGACATGGCAGCAGCCTATGTTCTATGATGGTCAATGAGCATATGGCCACCTCTCAATTTCTTTCTCCTCATCCTCCTCCCTCCTTGTATTTACTCTTTAATTGAAAATACATGAGTTCTTCTCACTTTCCTTCTCCTCCCTCCCAGTAATCATGCCTTAGAACTCAAACTCAAATCACATTTTACTGGTCGCATATACATATTTAGCAGATGCTATTGCGGGTGTAGCGAAATGCTTGTAACAAAGTTGCTTAGGAGCTGGAGACAGAGCGGCCATGTCTATCGGCGCCATCTTGTCATCCACCCTCCTCTCTCGTCAGGACCTGAAAAAGGCGGGCCTGCTGATTTTTGCTAACAAACAGGATGTGAAGGGCTGTATGTCTGTGGCTGAGATCTCCCAGAGCCTGCAGCTCACCTCAGTCAAAGACCACCAGTGGCACATCCAGGCCTGCTGCGCCCTCACCGGGGAGGGGTAAGAGAATGGAGGCCTTTTTATTTCTTTTAATTTAACCATTATTTATGCTGGTTATTCTCGTTGAGATGAAAGCTCTTTTGCAAGAGACCTGGTCCAACATTCATACAGTAGGGCAGTGTTGCTCATCTTTTTTTAGTGCCAGGGACCGGCAAGCTATGGTCTTTCCTCCTTGGAGGGTCGCTTACATTAAAACTAGCATTTGTCTTATTCCCACTTATATGCTGAAAATGACATTCTCTCTCTCTTGCCATCCTGTCTCCCTACCTCCAGGTTGTGCCAGGGCCTGGAGTGGATGATGTCACGACTGCGGGTCAGATGACCTTTGACCTTGATCAACAACAACAGCGTGCTGTTCCTCTCTTCTCTCCACACCTTCAGTCCTGAGGGATGTGGTGGGTGGTTGACAGGCGACCCTTTTCCTCTCCATGAGACTCTGACTTAACCTGGTCGGCCAGACAACCTTCCTACCAGGATGTTGTTTTTCTGCTGCGTGTTTATTTATTTCTACAGAACACTGATCTGCTCTGACTGAGAACTGTGAACAACCAGAACTTTACCACTCTACCATTTCAGGATCCATTCTGGAAAGAAAAACTAAACAAAAGACTCATATGAAATCCAGTGTATTTAATTTCTGAATCTGCACGCTTGGTTTTCATGCTATAAGAAATAGGGAATACATGGGACAGCTCAGACTTAAGAGGAGTCGTCTTTAGTTGTGTGTGAGTGGGCCTGCCTGCCCAGAGTGGCCTTGTTGCAGTATTGTCGGACTGCCTGAGGTGGTGGTATTGCCCTGTGTGTACAGTCCAGTATTTACATTACATCTGCATCCCAAATGGAATATATATATGGATATAGGGTGTCATTTGGAATGCACATTACATTACCTTGTGCCTGCTGCGTCCGAATCCTCACATGATGGCGGCTGAAGACACTGAATCAAAGAACACAAGAGGGAGAAACCCAACTCTCTTAGCTCATATGAAATACAGTGAATAAAATGTGTGTTTTTAAGTTTTGGGTGATTACATATGTCATAAATGTGTTTTCATTTTACAGGTAAGTATTATTCCTCTGTGTATGGTTTCTAAACAGTGGGTTGTCTTCATATAACCTTGTAATTGTTGGTTTTATGTATTGCCATTCTTCAACCAACCTCTGGGGGCAGTATGTTCTGCTGTGGACCATTGGACTCATGTTCAACATTCTTTCAGAGAGTGGCCGCTGACTGACTGACGGACAGGCGGGAGCAGTGAGGGAGTGACACCAGACAGCCCATGTAGAAGTCTGTGGGACAGCCAGAGACAGAATGAGGAGAGCGTAGACCAAAGTCAAGTATCCTTTATTATCCCAAGCTTGGGAAATCACTTGCCTAGTTTCACATAGAAAGGGTGAGCAGTCAGTCAGTCAGGCAGGGTTGAGATGAGCGTCTCCAGCACCCCCATAGTGCTGTTGTACATGGTGAGGTGGACCTAAGTACTGGTCCAGGTTATGTCCTTTCGTAATGGTTCAGATTTCAATATTTCTATAGATATTTGCGTACCGTAGTATGGGTGTACAGGAGCCTAAGTACTTTATTACCCTTTATTTACACACTTTCAGTTTTACAATGAGATTACAGTTTTAGTTGGTATAGCCGGACAGATTTATTTATTTCAGAACTGACATATGTTTGTCAGTTATTAGTCATCAGATGTGAATAAAATGACTAATAGTAAGCAAATAATAATGACAGTAAGCAAATAACCTACGAGTATAAGTAACGTCTGTTGCCTCCATGGTTGCCTTGGATGACTCAGTAGTATAACACTATTCCATTGGTCACCTGTCCAGAGTGGAGGAGATGGCCTGTCTTCAACAAGGATGTCTGTCATTGGTTGTGAGTGTGTCAAACACCATAAACATAAGAATGATGTGATCTGAAAGGTGAGTACCAAATCCCAGCAATGGTATTCTCATGTGTGATGCTCAAGTGTCACATGCTGCAAAATAGTTTTTTATCTCAATGAGAAAAATGTGAATAAATTAAGGATAAATGAAAAATGCACACATGTTCACCCCACATACATTATAAAGATAGTAAAATAAAAACATGCCATCATCACTTGCAGTACTCAGCATACAGTATAAAAACAAGACCTCAGTCAGAAAGCATTCAAACCATAGTCATAGTTCAAACTTTATGGGCTACATGACTCCTAAATGTCAGTTACCCTTACCCATTAGACCATACAGACTGTCTGGGCTGTGATCAGGGTGTCCAGACTCAAGTGGTATGGTATTGGTAAACAACCCAGGATCCTTTGCACAGTCATGCCATGATGACCTATGACACCACCATCGCCACATCTATCCTCTTACCTCAGTGTTGATGGGGACAATTGTTTTCCAAGGAGTTAGCGGTTGGATTATTGAGAGCGCAGTACCATTGGCATAATGCTGAAGCTATCAATGTGCAGCTGCTACTGTCCTCTATGTCCACCACGTAATTTTTTCCAGTGACTAAGCGGCATCATTTGGCTTCTCCCCTGGTGTCCCTCCTGGGTAGTTGTCACCTCGCTACTGTCTGCTAGAATCATATCTATAGCCCCCTCCAAATCCCCAAACAAAACAGCAAAATAAAGCATTATATTCTATCCCCAACCCTCATACATTCACAAACCATAAAGAGTTAAAGAGCTGGGTTGTTTTTTCAATATACATTTAACCTTGGCCCATAGTGAAGATACTGTAAACACGTTCCTACTTCACTGAAACACTGGCTGTGTGCACTGACTTAGTCTGTCCCCAATGCAGATAAATTACAACATTATAGACAGATTCAACATGTTGAGGTATTGAGCTTTCTCAATTAAGACGTGCCTCCATATTAGCCCTATTTCTCCATGAAGGCCAATTTATCTGTCGTTCTGTTTTCATAGACTTGACAAACTGCAGCGATGTTGCTAACGAGGGCTAGACATCATTGATCCAGTGTATCACAGACCAGAGTGCTGAGACTACTGCTTTCGGACGAGAGAGAGAGCGAGAGATGTGGTGTGAGGTGAAAAGAAACTCAGCTGTGCCTGTTAATCAAAGCCCTGTGACTCCCTTCTCCTGTGGGGGATGTCACATACCTCAGCCAGAGTCGCAGGCAGAGCCATAGGATGAAAAGAGGGGTAACAGAAAGTTAGATGTATGCTACTGAGGTAATAATACATGTACAACACTTTTTCTATGAACTTATATAGTCGCCCATACCAACTTGGGTAAAGGGATATTTTGTATTTTCTCAGGGAAAGCTGTAACATCACCCCTCCCCCCACTGAACATGTACTTCCACTGTAGCTGAAAATAGTCCACTGTTGTATTTTTAATTTACATTGAGGTCCATAATTATTGGCACCCATGATAAAGATGAGCAAAAAAGACTATAAAATATATAATACAAATACTGAGCTATATTGTCTGCTCAAAAACATTTGGAAATGTTATTATTTTATACTAATACAATTGCTCAGAGAAAGAGATTTTGTTTAACAAGTAATAAATAAATAAAATATTGGCACCCCTGTTTTCAGTACTCCAGCACTCTACCGAGGATAACGACACTGAGCCTTTCTCTAAAATGTTTTTTGAGATTGGAGAACACGTTGGGAGAGATCTTAGACCAATCCTCCATACAGACTCTTTCCAAATCCTTGATATCCTTCATCTGCCTTCTTCAATTCAAACCACATGTTTTCTATGGGGTTCAAGTCCGTAGACTTGATTTAGTGGTCAATTAACCATTTCTTTGTGGATTTTGTTGTGTGCTTGGGGTTATTGTCTTGCTGGAAGATCCACTTGCGGCCAAATTTCAGCCTCCTGGCCGAGGCAAGCAGGTTTTTGGCTGAAGTGTCCTGGTTCTTGGTAAAGTTCATGATGCCATTGACCTTAACAAGGGCCCCAGGACCAGTGGAAGCAAAATAGCCCCATAACATCAAAGATGCACCACCATATTTTACAGCAAGTGTGAGGTACGCTTCTGCTTATGCTTCCGTTTTTTGTGTGGCCAAAAAGCCCTATTTTTATGTAATCTGACAATAGCACTGCCTGGAGTTTGATAAATGGCATTGGCACTTGGATTGAAACCGTTTCTATGGTCAGATGACATGAAAATAGAGCTCTATTGCCACGCACACCAGTGGTTGGTTTAACTAGGATACCACACCTGGGATAATTATAGTTTTAACTATGCTTTGTGTAAAGTTACTATTTTGGGGGTAGTTACTTTGGAGGTGACTACAGCTATTTGAATATAAATCCCCAAAAATGATAACTTTTTTTAAACCATTTGAATTCAGATCTCAGGAAGTAATTACTTTTTTAAAACTATTTGAATACAGATCTGAGAAAGCAACTGCTTAAAAAAATATTTGAATACAGATCTCATGAAGTGATTTATTTTCAATAACTATTAGATTGGCTGCCTTCAACTAATGGCAGGGTTGTATCTGGAACTGCATGTTGAAGATAGAAATAGAATGAATAGAACACAATCTCCTATACTATTTAAATCTATCTGACAGTCATATTTGATCTACACAATACATTTCTATCTGAACATTCTGTAAATGTCCATTCTCCTGAATGTCCATTGCCTCAGGTGTACATAATCATAATCAGGTGTACAAAACCAGTGATATTTTGTACATATACTGTATGTATAGATAGTATGGACAGTATATGAATAGAACATGTGTGTACAGCAGTCCCAGCTTTGATGCACCTGTACTGTCTCCGCCTTCTAGATGGTATCGGGGTGAACAGGCCGTGGCTCGGGCGGTTGAGGTCCTTGATGATGATCTTCTTGGCCTTCCTGTGACACCGGGTGCTGTAGAACTTGATGTAAAGTGTTACCTTATGTACAGTACATTTGGAAAGTATTCAGACCCCTTCACTTTTTCCACATTTTGTTACTTTACAGCCTTATTCTAAAATGGATTAAATAAATAAAAATCCTCACCAATCTACACACAATACCCCATAATAAAAACAGAAATACCTTATTTACAGAAGTATTACATAAGGTTAGAGCGTTGGGCCAGTAACCAAAAGGTCAACTCCCCGCACCGATAAGGTGCAAAATCTGTCAATGTGCCCTTGTGCAAGGCATTTAACCCTAACTGCTACAGGGTTGCTGTTGATCATGTCTGACCCTGGCCATAACTCTCAGGGGGAGTTGGGATATGCAAAAAAACACATTTCCATTTCACACGTATATAATACACACTTGTACATGTGTGAAACAGGACAAAAATATATGTACCCACCAAATTATTATAAAGTGTATTGGACTGTACAAGTGAAACCAGATACAGTGGGGAAAAAAAGTATTTAGTCAGCCACCAATGTGCAAGTTCTCCCACTTAAAAAGATGAGAGAGGCCTGTAATTTTCATCATAGGTACACGTCAACTATGACAGACAAATTGAGGAAAAAAAATCCAGAAAATCACATTGCAGGATTTTTAATGAATTTATTTGCAAATTATGGTGGAAAATAAGTATTTGGTCACCTACAAACAAGCAAGATTTCTGGCTCTCACAGACCTGTAACTTCTTCTTTAAGAGGCTCCTCTGTCCTCCACTCGTTACCTGTATTAATGGCACCTGTTTGAACTTGTTATCAGTATAAAAGACACCTGTCCACAACCTCAAACAGTCACACTCCAAACTCCACTATGGCCAAGACCAAAGAGCTGTCAAAGGACACCAGAAACAAAATTGTAGACCTGCACCAGGCTGGGAAGACTGAATCTGATTTTTTTTCTCCAGAAAATCACATTGTAGGATTTTTAATGAATTTATTTGCAAATTAAAAACAGCCCCAAAGCATGATGTTTCCACACCCATGCTTCACAGTAGGTATGGTGTTCTTTGGATACAACTCAGCATTCTTTGTCCTCCAAACACGACGAGTTGAGTTTTTACCAAAAAGTTCTATTTTGGTTTCATCTGACCATATGATATTCTCCCAATCCTCTTCTGGATCATCCAAATGCACTCTAGCAAACTTCAGACGGGCCTGGACATGTACTGGCTTAAGCAGGGGGACACGTCTGGCACTGCAGGATTTGAGTCCCTGGTGGCGTAGTGTGTTACTGATGGTAGGCTTTGTTACTTTGGTCCCAGCTCTCTGCAGGTCATTCACTAGGTCCCCCTGTGTGGTACTGGGATTTTTGCTCACCGTTCTTGTGATCATTTTGACCCCACGGGGTGAGATCTTGCGTGGAGCCCCAGATCGAGGGAGATTATCAGTGGTCTTGTATGTCTTCCATTTCCTAATAATTGCTCCCACAGTTGATTTCTTAAAACCAAGCTGCTTACCTATTGCAGATTCAGTCTTCCCAGCCTGGTGCAGGTCTACAATTTTGTTTCTGGTGTCCTTTGACAGCTCTTTGGTCTTGGCCATAGTGGAGTTTGGAGTGTGACTGTTTGAGGTTGTGGACAGGTGTCTTTTATACTGATAACAAGTTCAAACAGGTGCCATTAATACAGATAACGAGTGGAGGACAGAGGAGCCTCTTATAGAAGAAGTTACAGGTCTGTGAGAGCCAGAAATCTTGCTTGTTTGTAGGTGACCAAATACTTATTTTCCACCATAATTTGCAAATAAATTCATAAAAAATCCTACAATGTGATTTTCTGGAATTTATTTCCTCAATTTGTCTGTCATAGTTGACGTGTACCTATGATGAAAATTACAGGCCTCTCTCATCTTTTTAAGTGGGAGAACTTGCACAATTGGTGGCTGACTAAATACTTTTTCCCCCCACTGTACCTAATAGGCATCCACCATATTGCTTTCACCTGTCCTGTGTTTTCAGATCAGTGCAGATGAATGAAAGGAGGGGAGAGACTAGGAGAGAGAGACCAGGAGAGGGAGACATGCAAGACTTCAGAGACACAACTTGAAGGGAGGGAAACTGCTGGGAAAAAGGAGATGGTTTGACACTACAAACCATAACAGGGTAATGTCATAGCAGCTTGACTGGTGCCTGATCTAACTTTTAATTCACTGGCTGAGCTCAATCTAGAAGTATGGCATGAGTAACTTGTAATACATCTTCTGCAGCATACAGTCACATCGGGAGCTCAGTATCATACTGAGTTGCTATTTATTTATTTATGGTGCATATTTATTTATTAATGGTGGTGGGACAGCAGGTCAATGGTTTGATTCCCTTTCCTTCAAATCCAGTGGCCCATAATGGCTTTGACCCTGCTCCAGACACCACACAGGACTTCGATCAGAGAGTCTCCTGCATAGTCAGTCAGTACAGTCAGTACCCCCACCTGAACTACAGTACCAGTCTCTCCAGAGGCGGTATCAAGCATCTCAGGGTGCTAATCTAGGAGCAGCTCCCTCCTGTCCATGTAATCCTATTCATTATGATCAAAGAGGCAAAACGGATTCTAGGTCAGCACTCCTGCTCTGAGATGCTTGATACATACAACCCCAGACTCAGAGCCCATGTCCACTCAAGGAATCCCCGGCAACACACTGACATCATCCCCAAACCAGTCAACATTCGTGATCACCTCCCATCGCAGGTAGTTGGGTTTTCTCTTGTTTTCTTTCCCCTCTCTGCTCCTTCCTACCCCTTCCTGCTCTTTCTATGACATACACTGACCAGCTTTGATTTGATTAGATTTTTATTAGGATCTCTTTTAGTCCTCATTTGGACTAATCTTCCAAGAGTCCTTAAACATTAAAATACAATTTATAATACAATCACATTTTCACATATAACAACACACTGTTACAAACAACAGCCATATTGACCAGATAAATACTCTAACAGTCTGAAAAGATAGATTGGTTCCTTCATCTACCATTGTCCTGCACAACCTTCCAATTTATTATATTTAAATGGTTCTAAAGTATTGTTTGAATTTATATAATGAAAGGTGACTGGTTTGCTCAGATAAATTATTCAATTTCTTTATTGCTCTAAATCGAAATGTTATTTTGCCTGTTTCTCTTTTCTGCCGGGATAACACATAGATGGTGGACAATCTATTCCTAGATTGACTGAATGTCTGTCTCTTACCAACAATACTGTTGTGAATGGAGTTTGGCCGTTTTAAATGGTATACATTGTGAAATAAAATAAGCATGTTTTTTTCAATTATCTTGTTGATTGATGACCACCCAAGAGCATTGTGCATGACTACAACTGAAGAATCACATCTCCACCTTAAAACAATCCTTGCTGCTTTGTTGAATGCTATGATCCCATTTTGATGTCACTTGCTAAATCCACATGAATCAGTGTAGATGAAGGGGAGGAGAGAGGTTAAAGAAGGATTTTTAAGCCTTGAGACAATTGAGGCATTTTACGTTTTCGTCATGTTGCAGACATTCTTATCCAGCAGTGAGTGCATACAGTTTCGTTATGGTCCCCCGTGGGAATCGTATCCACAACCCTGGCTTTGCAAGCTCTACCAACTGAGCCACACGGGACCACATGGATTGTGTATGTGTGCCATTCAGAGGGTGAATGGGCAAGACAAAAAATGTAACTGCCTTTGAACAGGATATGGTAGTAGGTGCCAGGCGCACTGTTCTTTGTCAAGAACTGCAACGCTGCTGGGTTTTTCACACTCAACAGTTTCCCATGTGTATCAAGAATGGTCCACCACCCGAAGGACATCCAGCCAACTTGTCACAACTGTGGGAAGCATTGGAGTCAACATGGGCCAACATCCCTGTGGAATGCTTTCGACACCTTGTAGAGTCCATGCGCCGATGAATTAAGGCTGTTCTGAGGGCAAAGAAGGGGGGGGGTGCAACTCAATATCAGGAAGGTTTTTTTAATGTTTGGTATACTTAGTGTATATTGCACTCAGATAAATTTACTGAACAGGTGCTATTTTCTGAAGGGATCACTTAGGTATATTTAGATTTTGAAACATGAGAGCGCCAGCCTCTGATTGGCTGTTTGGACCTCATGATAACCACGGTGCCGCTGCAGCTGTGAGCTGTCGCCCATCGTTTCTGTGGAGGGAAGTTGGGGAGGCTCTTTGGCGGCTTGGGAAACGATTAAACTCTAAAGTAAACTGGTAAGCTAAAAGAAACAATAAACATATTCCTTCCTTTCATCTTACCGCTCCAGCATTGCTTTCGTTTGGGACTTTTTTGTCTTCTGTACAGTTTTGTCTTCTGCTGCCTTTGGATTGCTTAGGGATAGTTAATGAAGGAATAATCCCAGTTAACGGGCTGTGTCCTCGTTAAAGGAGTCTCAGAGCAGTGGACCTCCAGAGACCAACAGGCCGCCAATGGGACACCTTTGAAAACACACCACGAGTTTGTTGCATTTTCCCCAACCTCTTCTGCTTCTGTTTTCAAGTCAATTTTGGTGGATAAAGTACTTTTGTGAATGGAGTGCTAAAAAAAGGTAGTTAGTACAGCTGTCCTAAATTTAACCTGCGGCCTCAGAAGGCATTGGAGCTCTGTTAGCTAAACAAAGCCCGCCAATCAAGCCGTGGTATTAACTTACATGACAAATAGTTGGAGTGCTATGCGGCCAGCTGTCCCAACCCTTCAGCCAGGAGACGAAAGACTGCTCTAGGGGGGTTTTAGGTGTCAAACTCTCATCAAAGCCTACCGGCCTGCAAAAGGCATTCCAGCACAACTTGGCCCGTGATCACACCTTTTAGCTGTACCTGAGATTTATCTTATCTAGTGTGGAATTGGAGTTTATCACAGTGAGAGTGACTGATAATTCTGTCACTTATTTGTTTACTTGTCTAGGCTTTAGGGCAAAACACAAAGTGGAATATCAGTTTGGGACCCTAGTGAACGGCAAGTCAGCAGCTTCCTTTACTGTAAGGTTGCTGGAAATACTACAGGAATCTTTCTCGGGTACGACATGTTGGACTGTTTGGCATTTCACCATCATTGTGTGTGCATGTTACATACTTTATGTGTGAACGACTTTGTTAGAAGGTTTTGTCCACATCCTGCCTTTGACTTTGGTGGTTTGGGTTCACCAGAGACTGCAAGGCAGGTTCTTAAAATATCTCTGTTAATGTTGGCCTTCAGCCTCTGGTAAAGACACATTGCTCTATGGAGGGCACTAGTACTGCTTTTTGCTTATAAAGAGGAAATGTATTATAACACAGAGTTTACGTTGATGTTGACTGTTATGTCCCAATTATGGCTACTAGATGATTGTCAATTGTGCTTGTAAAGTTTCAACCATATTTTACTGGGAGGTGCATCAGAAATTAAATGCCTGAGGATGTTATGTGTTTTAGGTAGAAACCCCTAAAACTGCATCATCATGGATGAGAATGAAGAAATTGAGGAGGAGTTTGAGGAGGAAGAGGAGATTTTTGAGGAAGAGGTAAGTAAATATTATATTGCGAGATCAACACAACACACCATCGTTGTCTTAGGTACTCAGACTATTGCTGGTTTTGACAGTTGAATAATTTACACACATTTCAATCGGTTAGGCCTTGTGGGCCCTCCAAACTGGTTTTGGGGTCAATTCAAGGAAAATTGGAATAGGAGTCAGAATTTCAGTTTACTTCCTGAATTGACTGAATTGAAATGGAATTGGAACCCCAAACCCATTCCAAACCCACTACCAATGTTCTTAGGTCTGAGTTCTATGGCCCCAGTGGGCTTCCCTGGCCCTGGTACTGGTAGGTCTTCAGGTTAACTAGCTAGCTTTACTCAGTCCCTATGAATAGGCAACTTAGTTTTGATACCACCCCAGTCAGCAGTTCAGGAGTCCAGGTGTCTCTGAGCTGTGAGCAGGGTTAGATTCTGTTTCCGAAGAACACCCATCTTCCTATATGCTAGCTATAGACATGGCCCTGGCCAGCCCTGTACAGCCCAGAGAACTGTAAATCAGACCAGGGACCAGCCATTAAAATCAAAACCCCTGCCACTTTCCTCTTTTCTTTGACATTTTAAAGCCCAGTTATGAACATAAAAAGAAATCACACCCTTTTGTTTACAATGACCATCGCACTTAATCAGTGCAAAGTTCAAAATGGGAAAACTCCTTTAACTTGATAGTCGATAGAAGTAGTATAAGTACACTTTACCTGACCAACCACCTTATACTACTGACAACTATAGGAGCTGATGTAATAGGCCTAGTTATTACACAACAGACAGTGTGTTTATTTGTCTAAACTTTATGTTGTTGATAACTTATAGGGGAACCCAAAAATTTTTCTTCCTAATTGAGGATGTGGAAGGAACTTCTGATTTGTTATTGTTAAATATTCAAAACATTTAGAAAAATGGGTCAAAACCTCTAACTACAGTATTTGGAAAGTTATTGTTTGGTTCCCATATAACATATCAACTTTTTCAAAGAGATTTATCTATCTTTAATGCAAAAATGTAAATCCTTTGTAATGCAGAAAAAAAAGACTATCCTCAAAATCGAAACACTCTGATTTCACTACTACTTTCATCTACACTTTGGAGGACATTTTTAAAGAGATTACTTTGATCTTAATAGTAAGATGGCTTCTTTCATCTGATCTACAGGCTGGGGAGAAACGTACAGCTGTGCATGTTATAGGATATACAGTACTCTACATTGCAGATAATAACTGGGTGGATTGTACAGTCATTCAGGACAACAGTTTTTTAAGTGGTTATTGATATGGATTATACTGTACTAAGTATTTAATATTCAGCATTTAACGATTTGAACAAAATTACTTTCTCGAGATAGTACATTGTTTTATGTTATGCTACTTTACCCTCTTAATGTTAATCAAGTTTAAGATCATTTCAACTTCCAATTTCACAGTATATTTTTCTCCCAGTAAGGGAAATATTGACTTTGAGCTCTGAGATGTGGCTGTTAAAACTCTTAGGACGGGACAGGACATACACATTTAGCAGTGGACATAGTGAGAAGTGCTGCCTGCTGTAAATCACCCGGAGGAAGCTCCAGCAGCCCGGCCGAGGGTCTGCTAACATCACTCATAGGATGTGCTTAGGAGGTTGATGCGTGTATAGAGAAACCAACAGGCAACTTGCAGCTAGCTAGAGGAGGAAGGCAGATCTAAGCTCTGTAGCAGCAGAATCTTAGCCTGATCCCAGATCTGTTTGTGATGTTTTGCCAACTCCTGACTAGAAGATTCTACCTGTTCTCTGTCCTCCATTGTTTATTGTCATTACTAAAACCTGTTGGGGAACAACAAGGCGGGTGGGGGGTAGTTCATGTACCTGTATGATTCTCCTCCTGTCTTGTAGAGTCAGAAAACAGCCTCTTACAACTGTTGTTTAAAGTGTTTGCGATTTTTCCCCAGCTCTGGTCTCTCAGTGGTTCAATAGGCTGTTTGGCATATGAATCGCAGACCTATGTTGTGTCGTGACGATAATGATGATGATTCTGACCATTAGTTCAAGGGTTTTCTATACCGTTCCATCAGTAGGGTTAAACATGTTCATGGGCTGTCCCCTATTAATGGTATGGCAATGAGTACCTTCCTGAGTTAGAGAACAATGTAGTCTCACTCTCAGGTCACTCACTGGTTATAATTTTGGCTTAGTTCAAGTTAGACACAGGCTATTCAGGGAACATGTGTGAGAATGTTTTTAGTTTAGTAGAGTATGTTGCTCCGATTTAAGCTAATAACAAGGAGATTTATTAGAATAATCACTAAGGATTAAAACAGTTTTAGCTGTCTTGTTGATATTTGGATTCATAGCGACTATTTACAACAAGGACAATGGACATGTAAATGGCATAACCAACAAGAATAGCCAGTGAGGTCATGTGAGGGTGCATATATTCCCAGGGATGGTTGGACAGAGGGTTCTGTCTGTCAGACCTGGGATCAAATACTAGAATCTTTCACATACTTTTAGCGTTTGCTTTAACCTGGAGTGACAGGTGGGCAGGGTTTGCCTTTTTGCAAATATTCTATTGTTTCCATTGTCCCAGACAAACTCACTCAGTCAAGACCACCTAAAGTATTTGAAATTATTGTAAGATGTATTTGAACCCAGGTCTGGTCAGAGGGCTCTGCCAGATGTAGGCAGGCAACCAGCAGGCAGTCAGTCAGGCAGACAGAGCCGTCAGTCAGGCAGACAGAGCCGGCAGTCAGGCAGTCAGTCAGGCAGTCATTCAGGCAGACAGAGCCGTCAGTCAGGCAGTCATTCAGGGCTATTATAGGCTCCTACTCCTCTTTCCCCCTGGAATAGAGGCTTCATTACACTCTTCAGTAATCACAGCATATTCCAGGATCCAAAAGGACACCTTCAAAGTCACTGGAGGGATCAGGGATATATGGAACCTTTTATTACTTTATAGTGAATGTAATTATTATATCATTATGCTAATTGCAGAATATTTGACTTAGCTACTACAACCAGATAATTGTGGTGACAGTGCAGATGAGTATTAAGTGAGTATAAGTATGAGTATTACTGTTTATCAATGTTGTTTACAGTATAACAATTATTGCACCAGAGAATTATTGCACCAGAGCTGGGGGGAAAACTCAATCCAATACACATTTGTGATATGTCTTCCTTTTACTTGTAATGGTGATTTTGAAACCAGCGAGTTGTTCCTATATTTATAGTATTTTGAGGAGACGGTGACTTCGACCACCTCTCACCAGACCACAACTCAGGTGGGAGCAGAGGTAAAGCAACAGGTAGAAGACAACAGTGAAATAAACAGCACAAGCAGCTCATGATGCTTCGGTTGTGCTTGCATGTCATGGGGGTTATTCCATAGACGTAGGCCTAACGAAGGAGAGAAATTCTAGAAAGGATACTGTTTAAAAAAGCGATATGTGTGACCCCGTGGATTATTAAACAAACTACCTTGTTTAACAATTCACAATTTACTCAAGTCGAGGAAGACATTTTTTTTGCCATTCCAAAAGTGAGTTCCCAAACAAAAAGGCGATTGTTTGGGTAATTCACAAATCACGACTTCATGTAAAATGTTCTCAGTTAGCCACAAGGCTAGTGAGTGATTGATGAAATAGCCCTCATATAGGCAGATGTTGCTAAATGATGCATGCAGTCAATTGTGTCTTACTCACCCCTGCTTTTGTCCACTGGCTCATTCATGGCCAGTCTCTCCTTTCCTTCCCTTCAGTCTCCTTTCCTTTTCATTTCCTTCGTTCATTCCCTTTCCCTCAGTCCCTTTCATTTCCTTCATTCATTCCCTTTCCCTCAGTCCCTTTCCTTTCCTTCATTCATTCCCTTTCCCTCAGTCCCTTTCCTTTCCTTCGTTGAGTCCCTTTCCCTCAGTCCCTTTCCTTTCCTTCGTTCAGTCCCTTTCCCTCAGTCCCTTTCTTTTCCTGTAGCCCTGATAATAAGTCTTATCCTCTGTCCCTACTAGACCTTAACCTAGCCAATACCATGTTATCTCCCATCCCATTACCTCCATGTAGAATGACATAGTTTTCTAATCATTCCATGTAATGCCTTGATGATAGAGTCAAATACCACAATTAGTAGCCTAAGGTAATATTTTTTTAATCAGCCATTGCATTGAATTCTTGCAGGTAAGTGAACTTGGTTGCAGAGTAGCATGAACTAGCCTAAGTCATTGTTGCTTTCACATACATGTCCCTTTTGTAAGAGACTTAGGATAGTCAAAATGTAATTCACTTTTTTACCCGTTTATTTATATTACACTTAGTATAATATTACAATTCTGTCATTGTTATAGGAGCATTGATTCCGTCTTGTTTCTGGTTTCTCCGTATTGTCTCGCTAGCCTCTTTGTTGTAAGTGGATGTGTACCTCTGGTCTGGTTTCCTGTCATAAAGGACCAACAGCCATAGTTTGTCACATGACTAACAGCCTTACCACTGTTCCCCAGTCTGGTGTTCCTGTGAGAAGAGTCGTCAGGAAGAAGGCTAAGGTGGACACCTCCAAGTTCATGACTCCTTACCTGGCCCACAGCCAGAAGATGCTGGACTTGTTCTCCTACGTAAGCAAGCCCATTACAACCAGGTCATGTTCATTAGGGTACATCGTAGCAAAATGTTTTGAAAAGTCCAGGTAGTCCCTTTTCTGTTTCTGTCAGTATTCTTCCGTATATTGCCTAATGAAGAGAACCCAGGTCAAATGCTTTTTTCACCACCACCCCTCCCCCCTTTGGTTCATGAGAGAAATGGGTGGTCCTCTGTAGCTCAGCTGGTAGAGCACGGCGCTTGTAACGCCAAGGTAGTGGGTTCGATCCCCGGGACCACCCATACACAAAAAATGTATGCACGCATGACTGTAAGTCGCTTTGGATAAAAGCGTCTGCTAAATGGCATATTATTATTATTATATTATTATATTATGCTCACCAGAGTTTGATTATGATGTTATATTGTTCCGATGTGTCCCTAACAGAACAAGTACCGTCATGCCTATGACAAGGCTAAGGGGAAACCCTATGCCATCTCGGCTGACACCCCTGAGATGGTGAGGATCAAGAAGGCTCAGGAACAGCTGTCTGAGGTATGGAGGCCTCTGTTCTATTCTGTCGAGTTCTCTGATAGATATCATATATCACAGTCTCAGTCAATGTTGCAATGTCACTAATAATAATATAAAAATACAACTTTGGTCAAATTGACACTTGACTCATTGACCCTACCAGGTGAAGTACCGGATGGAGGGCAATAAGGTCAGGTGTACCAGTTTGTACGATGGGGAGGCCAGAGAGATCGCCCATGTCAAGCATGTCTCGGAGCTGATCAGCAAGGTTCTGTACAGGGCGAAGTGGGATGAGACTAAGGACAGGTACTTGCTGCCCCCTGATGCCCCTGAGCTTGTCCTGGCTGTGAAGAACGCTGCAAACTATAGCAAGGTAACTTCATACTGAACAATACTCAGCCTTCACTCTAGTGGTGCTGTTACAACACTTGTCCCAGGCTGATTTATTTAGTCGTATGAGGTTATAGTAATATTTTATATGTAGATTACTCAATTCACATTAATCTAGATTGATCTAAGTAATTCATATTTACTCAAAACAGATAGATTGCTTTTCAATATTTGAGCCGATGCAGCTTCTCTTTTTGTTTTTCTGTGGGATCAGAAACTGTACACGGAGGCCTGGGATGAGGACAAGACCATGTGCTACCCTTACAGTGACTCGCCTGAGCTGCGCAGGGTGGCAAAGGCACAGGAGGTCCTCAGTGATGTGAGTACTGCAACTATCAAAACTATTCTGTTGTATTCTATTCTACACTTAACTACACTTTTACTTGTGATTGCAGCAAGTTGATATCAGTGTTATTAGGTCAGTTTTATAGTACTGTTTTATAGTTACTGTAAGTTATATTCGAACAGCATTAATTTCTTACACTGAGTGATTGTTATAACCGTTTGTTCCATGATGTAAATGTTTTAAGTCATAAATATCCTTCTCAACAACACTATTCCTAGAATGCAGTGATTGCGTCAGTCAGTCAGCTGAACCACGTCCACGAGTGTGGTGGTTCACTTTGTGCAATTCATTGCTCACATCACATTACTTGGCAGTAAAACATCCTACATCAATCACACTTCATGAAAACACTGTTTACCCCCTTCATTTAAAAACTCTATTTTTGCTTCCTGAGCTTTTGGGTTTCTGCTGACTCAGATGTTCCATATGGAACCATTTCCTCTCAGCAACTATTTCTACATGTAGGATGCAATTAAAATGGTCACTGCTGTCGCTCTTTTATTGAATTGAACTTCAGATTTCCGCTGATCCAATTTATTGGCTTATCCAATTAGATATCATCAAGCAGAACATTACCACATGTAGCTAACAGGCACGTGGCATAGTGGCATAGCTAACAGGCATGTGGCATAGTTGACCGTGTCAAAGGTCAACTATTGATTAAAGATACATCTCATCGTGGCCTGGGGTGTCTAGCGATCATTGCTGCTGCCTTCAGAGCGGATAAGCTGGTGTTAATTTGGGTTTGAATCTTCTAACACACTGTCCTCCTTACTTTCCTGTCTCTCTTCCGGATCTCTGTGTCTCTTCTGTTCCTCTCACCATTCTGTTCTGTTTCTCCCCTATGCTGCAGATCCTGTACAAGAAGGGTCATGCTGAACGCACAGCAAAGTACACCTCGCTGGCTGTCCCTAATGATATGGAGTTGGCCAAGAAAAATTTCGAACAGCGCAGTGACGTAAGTGGTGTGACACAAACACACAAAACACACACACACACACACACACACACACACACACACACACACACACACACATACACACACACACTGATTGATCGACAATTGCTTCTCTGTCATTGCATCAAGCAATCACTCATCATCCTTGACAACGTTGTAATGTAGACATTTGAGAGAATCATTATCATAGCCCTCAGCTATCGAGTCCTGACGGAGAGGACAGGGTGGACCAGTGGGTGCTGTCAGTCACTGCCTGACATGTGTGAAGTCCCCAGCCCTGCTGTCCTTGTCCCTGGGAGACAGAGGGGGTATGACTGCCACCTGCTCCATGATATTATTGGAAGGCAGCAGCCCTATTCTGGCAGACAGACGTGGAGCAACGACAATAGCCTGAGATTATTTGAAATCCCCACCGCTCCCAACATGTTTTATACTCCCCCTGTAGTTGCAGAGGCCTCTACAATTCCAGCATCCATCTATAATGTTCATATTATTCTGTTTTGAATGACTTTTAAGGCAACACTTTGACAGATAATATTTGAAGTATTTCTTGATTGTGTCATGCCTCGATTTTGCAATCTTAGTTCAGTATCTATAGAAGCAAAGCTTTAGTTCTTCTTATTTTAAATGACCCAATGTCTGACTTTTCCTTGCTTTTCTCTTGCAGCTCAAGTATCATGAGGACTACAACAAGAACGTCAAGGGCCACTGGTGCGAGACGCCCTACATTGATGTGGCCGTTGCCAGGGTGGCTATGGACAACATCAGCAATGTAAGAGCCCACAATTGTATAGCATATAGTTATTGGCATAATTTACATTACAGTATGTGTTCATCAAATCATAACACGTCATATCTATATTTGTCTTTTCTCATTTCAGAAAAAGTACACGGCTGCGTATGAGGACATAAAAGACCAAATAAATTTTATGCAAACAGAGACGCCAGAATACAAACAGAACAAGAAGGCTGGTCACGCTGCCAGCTCGGTGAGTCTATGAGCCCTCAAAGAGAGGGACATGAAGGAGCACACACAACACACACAACACACACCAAACCAACCAGCTAACCAACCAGCTAACCAACCAGCTAACCAACCAACCAGCTGTCTACTGCTTCTCTCAGAGAGAAGAAGCAGGGAAAGTGGGTGCTGGCTGAGTATATTTTTATAGATCCATCTCATGCGGCAGCAAGCAGAGAGACACACGACACTGCTTTGACCTCCAGCTCTAAACAGAGCGTGAGTCAACACTGTGACTCTTTTGTCACGCAGACATCAAGATGTGCCCACACATGTTCTGTACCCAGAATCAGAACACTAGATAAAGAATAAATCACTGTCGTCAAACAGTAGTTTAAATACATTTAGGCTATACCGTAGGTGGTAACAAAACTGTAGCTTTTTGCCTATTAGCATTTTTCAATCAAATGTTTCAAAACACGGCTTCATCCACATACCAACGCAGACGGACATGTAAATCCGAAATGTGCAATGATGAGTAATTGTATTAACCTTGACATGAATCACTGTATCACAGCAAACCATATATATAATGTATTGACGGACCCATTCTTCTCTCCTCAGATCAAATACAAGAAGGACTATGAGAAGAGCAAAGCGGTGGCTGACTACAACGTTCTCCCAGCCTCCGACAACCCTCTGCTCAGGCAGCTGAGATACGCTGGCACCATCTTGAGTGACGTAAGTGTCTAAGTCGGAGAGACTGAACCATTGGTCCGAACAGGTGTCATACTCAAATAGACTAAAGTTACAGGAAGCTAAACAATCACATCTCTTCTATGAGAGGCAGTCATTAGTTACAGAAAATCATTCAGTATCCCATCCCATGTTCTGGCAGACAACAACAGTTATCTTTCATCTCCGTTCTCAAAAGTCACTACTCGTGTTTCAAATGAACTTGTATAGTGTTTACTTGTACACTTTTAGCTAGACAGTTGGCAGTTTGCTAGTTCGACAGTTTGCTATTTGGCTGCTAACAGGGTATACGTTTTCACAGCAGATTCTTGCTAGTTAAATCATGACAGTGAGTAAGGGTGCACCCCCCTCTTACTGAATTATTAAATGAGTGGTGATAATCAAGACATTCAAGAGCCACTTATTCTGTAGTTAACCCACTGAAGGTGTAACATGACCCCAAGCACTACTTTGATGAGTCTAGTTAGTTACTAGTCACTCACTGTCCATTTGTTAATAATTAGTGTAGCCATTCACAGAATCTTATATTTGGAAATAATGGTTTTACTCATTTTGCCGAATTTCATAAATTGAAAGCCAAATACTAACTTTGATATGAATTTGAGGCATATAACTACTTTTGTTTGCCATTGTTTTCTGCTCAACATTTCTCCTCTGATCACTCCCTTTGCAGAAAGTGTACAAGGCCAGCTATGAGAAATCCAGGGGGTCCAGTATCAACTACTGTGACACGCCCAAATTCAAGATGGACTCTGTTGTACAGAAGTTCAGTGACGTGAGTATTCCTTTCATTGTCTTCACTGATGAGGTTAATGATGTTCATGTTTTTTTTTTTATTGTTCAACAAATCATTGTACAGTACATTTTACATTTACATTTCACATTTTAGTCATTGAGCAGACACTCTTATGCAGAGCGACTTACAGTTAGTGCATTCATCTTAAGATAGCTAGGTGAGACAACCACATATCACAGTCATAGAAAGTACATTTCTTCTCAATAAAGTAGCGATCAGCAAAGTCAGAGCTAGTAAGAAAAGACAAGTGTGAGTGTTAGTTCAAGAAAGACACTACGAATGGCAGCAACAACCCGACTGATCATTTAAAGTGGATCTCCTTTATTGTATGTAAGAGGCAAATGGATCTTACATGGATTCATCTTTACTCCCTCTATCTCCCCTCACAGGTGCATTATAAAGACAAGTATAAGAACGAGGTGAAGGGACGCTATATTGGCAGCTATGAGGATATCTACATGCTTCACTGCAAGAAAATGGAGGAGATCAAGAGCGAAGTAATTAATGTTGCATTGTTTTTGTTTTGTTCTCTCCTCTAATGCATTGTTAAGAGTAAGACATTGATTGTCTCTCAAATGGCACCTTACTCCCTATATAGATTACTACTTTTATCCAGGGCCCACTGTACGACAGGCAAGTTCACTCTCAATGATTAGAAAGGAATCATCTGTTCTTCTGTCTTTTCAGCAAAATTACAAAGCGGATTATGAGGATATCAAGACGAGATGTTTCTATCCCCAAACCATGACGGCAGAATACGAAGCTCATAAGAAAGTTGCACAGTGTCAAGATGTAAGTATGCCTCTTGAAGAAATATTGCAAATTACAACCAGTCAGTTGCACTATGATTAGCATGGATAAGGCCTTTCATTGAAAATTAGATTGACATAATTCTTTGTCTTTTTTATTCTTGATATTGATATGTATAATTTACATCTTTTTTTGCAGAAAGTTTACCGGCAACATCCGGACACAGTGAAATTTACGCAAGTGACAGACTCGCCTGTTCAAGTGCAATCCGCCATCAACGCCAAACAGCTGAGTGATGTATGTATTCAACCTTTACGACAGACCTTATACGAGTGTTAAGTTCAATATTAAATAGTTACAGTATGAAATTACAATTAGGTCTGTCTGTCTCCCTTGAAAAATAGGTATTTTGACCTCAATGGAACAACCTGCTAAAAAATATATGATATAGAATTTTGTTAGAATTTTGGAACAAATACCAAAAAAGAGACCTCAAGGTTGAGCCGTTGCCATGACACTAAAGGTTCTTGATGGCTGTTGCCTGAAAATGTGCTCATTCATCCACTTAGCACATAGCTCAGCTGTCTTCCTGCGGACGCCATGGAAACCAGAGAGAGCTATCTCTCTCTCTCTCTCTCTGTAGTATTAATAGCAACATGCGTTCAGTTTGCTGAAAATAACCCCTAGTCTCAGATGAGAGGAGGGGGGCTGACAGTTATGAGAGACAACTCTGAAAAGGAGAGGCTTCACACTCCTCAGAGATGGGCAGCACTGCCCTCTAGTGGTATGGAATGATCTGTGTAGTATTCATATTCTATAGCTCTCCTCTGCTGTACATAGTGCCAACCGTACACTTTCATGTACCTGACTGTACTGTATTTTCATGTGGTTCTTCCTGTCTTTTCCAGCTTAACTACCACGCAGCGTATGAGTTGGATAAGTTTAAGTGTGCCCTGCCCCCAGATTACCCCTTCTTCATCCAGTCCAGAGTTAATGCATTTAACCTTAGTGATGTAAGTCAAATTCTGTTGATGATACTGTAGGTAATGTTTTTATAATTTATAATTTCATTTGTTATAATATGATTTGAAAATAATGTGCTTGTATTGACATAATTTCACAATCATTGTATTTGGTTATTGTTGACCCTCAATGGATAAACCCTCTGGTTTTTTACTTGCATGATACTGATATCCTACATGTATTTTTAACTCTGCGCAGAATTGTTACAAGTATGATTGGGAGAAAGTAAAAGCCAAGCAGTTCGAGGTCAAGGGTGATGCTATCTCGATCCTTGCAGCCCGTGCCCACACAAACATAGCCAGTGATGTGAGTATGCACTGAAATAAACATCTACACTTCCATGTAAATGATTGTTCATATTGATAATGCTGACTATTTCCTTTGGTGTACTGTGTAGTATAGGCATTCACCTAACTTTTGCTCTTTGCCCTCAGGTCAAATACAAGAAGGATTTTGAAAAGAACAAGGGAAAGATGGTGGGAGCCCTCAGTATCCGTGACGACCCCAAGATGCTGCACTCCATACATGTGGCCAAAATACAGAGTGATGTAAGTCATTTTCCTGCCAGGGAATACAGATTAGACTACAAATTAGCCGGCAAGCTTAATCTGGCACATTTGAAATGTTGGTTGATGTGTATTGTCTTTGACAAACCTTGTTTTAGTATGAAACAGAAATATGAGGACAGTGGCTGTCAGTGTGGCAGGGGTATAGGCGCTCACTGTGACTCGTCCCAACTTTATATTAAAGAAACACTTTTTTATCATAGAGAGAATGTGGTGCCTCACCTTCTAATTCTCTCAAACTCTCTCCGCAGCGTGAGTACAAGAAGGACTACGAGAAGACAAAGACCAAGTACATCACCACGCTGGACATGATGTCTAACACCCTGGCCAAGAAGTCCCAGGGTATCGCCAGCATGGCCGGCTACAGAACCATCCACAACCGCTACCTCCTGCCCTACGACGCCATGTCCCTGGACCTGGCCAAGAAGGCCAACATCATCCAGAGTGACGTAAGAACACCATCACCCAGATTGATTGATAGATAGATTAATTACTCTGGTTGATTTATCTAATTGATTGATTGATTGATTTGGTTTGCTTTCATCCTATTAAACGTCTGGGGAAAAGGTTATAATAATATTGGAGCATTTCAAAACCGGTAGAAGTATACTGAAAGTAATACTCCCACTACTTTATTTTCCCTCTCTACAGAATGAATACCATTCAGACTACAACAACTTCACCAAGGGATCTGGTTGGGTCACCTTCGGCTCCATGGAAGTGGAGAAGGTCAAGAAAGCCGGAGAGATCCTCAATGAGGTAGCTACTACAACATGATCTAGTTGAAGGTTTAAATTAAAACACAACAAGATTGGTTTCATCTGCTTTGACATAGGATGTGTTCCCTTTTCTCCTCTACTTCAGAGAAAGTACCGTCAGCACCCAGACACCATCCCCTTCACCGCCATCGCTGACCACCCTGTCATGATGCAGGCCCAGGTCAACCAGCTAATGAGGAGTGATGTGAGTATTATTATATTATTATTATTGGATGATAGAATCGTGTTATTCAGATAATTTAGACATCATGGGGCGGTTTCCTGAACACAGATTCATGTTAGTCCTGGACTAAAAAGCAATTTCAATGGAGATCCTGTGTCGAGGAAACTGTGTACTTCATAGAGGTTACATATTCAACTTAGTACAAATATGATTTTAAAAAAATATAAATAAAGATGAAACAATCAGTAATTAATGTATTACTATTTTATATCTATAAATATGTGTTTGTGTACTCATTTGTATTTGTATTCTTCTTCCCCTGCAGCTTCACTACAAGAAGGGTCTTGAGGAGATCCACCAGAAGTACTCACTACCCCATAATGACCCCCAGTTCCTTCAGGCCAAATGCAACGCCTACAACATCAGCAAGGTACTGTTGACCAAGACTAATAAATTATGCCTCATATTCATATTAAATAAATGAATTGTCAAATGTTTTATCATATTACCATCGCCTGCCCTTTATATAAAGAGCACACTGCTCTGCACTGTGTAGACATCTTTCCTCCAAATACAACTGTGCCTTCTTGGGTGTGCACTGCATATATATACTGTGTTATATTCGTGTCTCATGGAAACAGTGTATTTATATACCATATTGGTTTATTTCAGAACTACTACAAGCAAAGCTGGGAGGAAACCATTGCAAAGGGCTACGACATGAGGTCAGATGCTATCTCTGTCATCCATGCTAAGCACGGCAGACATATTGCCAGTGATGTAAGTACACAATAAATCCCCAGGACAACATAAAGAGCTATACTGTATGTAGTCTGTATAGTCAACAACAATGTTCCTACGTTGAATAGTGTCAGATGATCAGATTATTATTTTACTTCTTCCTTTTAGATCCAGTACAAGAAAGACCATGTGAAGGGAAGAGGCAAACAAGTCGGCTGCCGTAATCTTCAGGATGACCCCTTGCTAGTGCACTACATGCAGGTGGCCAAGATGCAGAGTGAGAGGAACTACAAGAAGGACTACCACAAGTCCAAGCTGAAGTACTGCTCCCCAGTTGACATGATGAGTGTTGCACATGCTAAGCAAGCCTCTGCAGTGCAAACCTATACTGGCTACAGGAAGATCCAACACCATTACAGTCTTCTACCAGGGGCCATGAACCTTGAGCTGGCTCGCACCATGGACACCAACGCCAGTAGTGTAAGTACTCTGACTCCTACCCAGGGATAGAGCAAAATAATTTTCCGCACTGGCTAGAAGGGCGATTTCTACCCAGGTGACATTCTACTAGTGAAGGGTCCAAAATCTGTGCCATGTGGTATTTGAAAAGATAACATTTCACTGGCCTGGTGGGCTAGTTTGGCACATTTTCTACTAGCCTGGTTTAAAAGGTACTAGCCTCAGGCCTTTGGAAACTCTAGCTTCAACTTGTAAGTTGCGATGCTGCATCTTAGATTTTTACTGTAGTGGTTATTTGCAGCATTTCTCACATTGTCTCCTCTCCTTGCCGGATGCAGTTGAACTACAAAGCGGATTGGGAGAACTTTGTGAAGGGAACTGGCTGGATCCCCATCGGCTCCATTCCAGTGGAGCTAGCCAAGCAGGCCGGGGCCGTTCTGGATGAGCACAAGTACAGGCAGCACCCTGAAAACTTTAAATTCACCAGCAAGATGGACGGCATGAATATGGAGCTGTGCAAGCAGAACCAAAAGATTATGAATGTTGTGAGTAGTATTTACTTACTAGAAAGGCCTAAATCAAATCTCTAGTTGTCCATTGAATTGAAGTTTTCCATTGAATACATTTTGTTGAAATACATTTTGTATTTAATTCATTTTGTTGGATGGAATTTAATTGAACTGAATAGAACTGTTGATTTAAATATGTTGTTGTTATGATGTGTTTTTTTGCAGCATGACTATAAAGCCAGCGGAGAGAAGTTCCTGCACACCTACAATCTCCCTGCAGATGCACCAGAGTTTATGCAAGCCAAATACAATGCTGTCAACATCAGCAAGGTTGGTTACATGTTGATCACAGTCCATACTATTATATACCTTTGCTATCATACACAATCAAAACACATATATATTCATCTTCCATGCATTAATTGAAATGTGCCTTCATTTATACTGTATAGTTGGTTATATGTTGACTGATCACAGTCCTATTTTACACATATATATTCATTGAATGCTTTTAAACACAGTTAATATACACATATTCATTGACCATGATGCATTAATTGAAATGTGTCTGTAAGTAATGTGTTTATTTCTCTTTCTCTTCATCACAGAACTATTACACGTACGCTCACCGTCAAGACATTCTGAAAGGACACCAGATGAAGGCAGACGCCATCCCCATCACTGCTGCCAGGGCCTGCACTAATATTGCCAGCGATGTACGTATGGATTGGAAGAAATTGGAAATCTGTATTTGGGTTTATTGATGAACCATAATTGACCATAATCATGACATGCTATTCGTGGTATTTACATTCATCATTGTATTTCCTGTACAGTACAAGTACAAGCTGGCGTACGAGAAGGGAAGAGGCAAACATGTCGGCTTCCGCAATGTTAAGGATGACCCCTTGCTAGTGCACTACATGCAGGTGGCCAAGATGCAGAGTGAGCAGAACTACAAGAAGGACTACCACAAGTCCAAGCTGAAGTACCACTCTCCAGTTGATATGATGAGTCTTGTACATGCTAAGCAAGCCTCCGCAGCGCAAACCTATGCTGGCTACAGGAAGAGCCTCCACAACTACACTCTTCTCCCTGAGGCTATGCCTGTTCAGCTGGCTCGCACCATGATGGAGATCCAGAGCAACGTGAGTTCATTTCGATATCCTTGCCATTCAATACCATAATGATGGTACGAAACTGGGCTTGGCTGTGTAACTGTACTATCGACAATAGTAGTAATGGTTTTTGTGAACAATAGTATATTTTGAGTGAGAGAAAGGGTACCTGTCTGATACCTGTCCTGTCCTGATACGTGACCTGTTCTGATACCTGTCCTGTCCTGATACCTGCCCTCTCCTGATACCTGTCCTGATACCTGACCTGATACCTGTCCTGATTCCTGTCCGGATACCTGCCCTGATAACTGTCCTGATACCTTCCCTGATACCTGTCCTGTCCTGATACCTGTTCTATCCTGATACCTATCCTGTCCCGATACCTGCCCTGATACCTGCCCTGATACCTGTCCTGTCCTGATATAGGTCCTGATACCTATCCTGTTCTGATACCTGTCCTGACACCTGTCCTGACACCTGTCCTGATACCTGTCCTGATACCTGCCCTGATCCCTTTCCTGATACCTGTCCTGTCCTGATACCTGCCCTGATACCTGTCCTGATACCTGCCCTGATACCTGCCCTGATACCTGCCCTGTTACCTGTCCTGATACCTCTCCTGTACTGATACCTGTCCTGTCCTGATACCTGTCCTGGTACCTGTCCTGACACCTGTCCTGATACCTGTCCTGGTACCTGTCCTTATACATGTCCTTATACCTGTCCTGGTACCTGTCCTTATACATGTCCTTATACCTGTCATGATACATGTCCTTACACCTGTCCTGATACCTGTCCTTATACCTGTCCTGATACCTGTTCTAAAACCTGTTTTAATACCTTTACTGAAACCTGTCCTGATACCTGTCCTGTCCTTATACCTGTCCTTATACCTTTCCTGATACCTGTCCTAATACCTGTTGTGATACCTTTCCTATTTCGCTGTGTGTCTCTACAGAACGCCTACAAGTCTGACTACAACAACGTGTACAGGGGTTCTGGCTGGGTTCCTATTGGCTCTATGGGGGTGGAGTTGGCTAAGACAGCCATGGCTGCCCTAAATGAGCACGGCTACCGTGTGCACCCCAGCACCCTGAAGTTCACCAGTCTGACTGACCAGATGAACATGGCCCTTGCCATGACCAACACCAAGTTACTTGATGACGTAAGAACTAAAACTAACTTTGATTATTGTTTATTGTTTTTTTTAGGATCTATTTTAGCTCACCAAGGCTAGTCTTTCAGGAGTCATACATTTATTGAGTTTACATAAAAGATATGAGGAAATGAATGGTTTTCATGTATTTATTCCATGTATTTTATTCCCTACTATGGATGTTGAATGTGATTACCTGGTTCTTTCTCTCTGTGCAGGCTTCATACAGAGCGTCTGGCGAGAAGTTCAAGCATACCTACAACCTGCCTGCAGACAGCCCTCAGTTCCTCCAGGCCAAGTACAACGCCCAGACCATGAGCGAGGTCAGTACACACCCACAAACACACACAGACTCAATTTCTCTGACATTTTAAAGATGTGCAAGTACAAGTATTGCCTACAGATAGGCGATGTTTGACTGTGTTTGACTGTGTTTGACTGTGTTTGACTGTGTTTGACTGTGTTTGACTGTGGTTGACTGTGGTTGACTGTGGTTGACTGTGGTTGACTGTGTTTGACTGTGTTTGACTGTGGTTTCTTTGATTTCTCTTAGTCTCACTACAAGCACAAGTGGGTGGAAGATGTCGCCAAAGGATACGACATGAGGTCAGATGCTATCTCTGTCATCCATGCTAAGCACGGCAGACATATTGCCAGTGATGTAAGTACACAATAAATCCCCAGGACAACATAAAGAGCTATACTGTATGTAGTCTGTATAGTCAACAACAATGTTCCTACGTTGAATAGTGTCAGATGATCAGATTATTATTTTACTTCTTCCTTTTAGATCCAGTACAAGAAAGACCATGTGAAGGGAAGAGGCAAACAAGTCGGCTGCCGTAATCTTCAGGATGACCCCTTGCTAGTGCACTACATGCAGGTGGCCAAGATGCAGAGTGAGAGGAACTACAAGAAGGACTACCACAAGTCCAAGCTGAAGTACTGCTCCCCAGTTGACATGATGAGTGTTGCACATGCTAAGCAAGCCTCTGCAGTGCAAACCTATGCTGGCTACAGGAAGGTCCAACACCACTACACTCTTCTCCCTGACTCCATGAACTTTGCGTTGGCTCGCACCATGAATGCCAGTTCCAGTGATGTGAGTTTTTGTGACTTCATCCTAGTACCAGGGGTGTACGTTTTCTGTTAAATAGCTTTCGGGTATCAAATACTTCATTCATTTGCCTTTGTTTTTTTCTCCAGCACGAGTACAAGTCTGACTGGAACAACTTCGTGAGAGGAACTGGATGGATTCCCATTGGCTCACTGCCGGTAGAGCTTGCAAAGGTTGGCTCGGACATCCAGAGTGAACATAAGTACCGTACACACCCCTCCAAATTCCAGTTCAAGAAGCTGATGGACTCCATGGACATGGTCCTGGCCACTGACAACAACAAGATCATGAACAAGGTACACTATAAACTGTAACGCCATATTGGAAATTAAAAAAATGTGATGTTTTCTTGTTAGTCCTAATGTTATTATTTATCTATGTTTGTGTCAATTACATTGCAGCAAGAATACACCAAACAATGGCACACGGATAAGCTCAAAATCCATGTGATGCCAGATGCCCCTGAGATTGTCCTGGCCAAGGCTAATGCTATCAACATGAGTCAGGTATGATCATCAAGTCACATCTTCCAATATCACTACTAACTAATAATGTACATGACGGTATACTCGTTGCCCCTTTCTAACTAGTTATTATCATTTTAATGATAATCTATAGAATCTAAACTACTTTCAAAAGTCTTTGAAAATCACAGACATTCAAACTGTAATTTAAAAGTGAGAACCCTGTATTTAATGGTCATTTTTTGGCTCTGTTTCTAAGCTCCGTCTATATACATTTTCAGAAACTCTACAAATCCGGTCTGGAGGACATGTATAAAAAGGGCTACGACCTCAAACCTGATGCCATCGCCATTCTGGCTGCCAAGAAAGGCACTACCATTGCCAGTGACGTAAGTGGAAAATAATTTCATTTCTGCGTTTGCTTGCTGCATAGACCCTGTTTCCTTGCCAGCTATATATTGTATAACTATTAAGTTAACTATCTAAGATGTGCCAAATAAATTCTCTCCAGCTGGGTTTTGCTAATGTTGCTCACTACTAATGTTAGCTAAGCTTCCAAGACCAAGCTTCTTGGTGACAGCAGCAGAGACAATCCCCTCCTCTATTAAGATGCCTGCTGTCTAATATTTGTTTGTGCGTGCTGCAAACTGCGTTTTGAGGTACTTGCATAATTTTATAAGCTGGGTTGTCTGTCCTAGTAGGAAATGTTGACAAACAAAAAGGTGTAATCGCATAGAGCTAACTGCATTATTCGATTAAAAAAAGTAATAATAATCACTGCATTAGGGATAGCGTGCACAGACGTTTCGGCTTTACTGCCTTCTTCAGTGAGAGGATACCTGGCTTGATGAAGCCCCAAAACAAGTTAAAAGCTTGAACAGAAGCCAGTTACTTAATAAATCCCATCAAAAACGGTTTTCCTCTCTAGGTTTCTTCCTATTTCTGCCTTTCTAGGGAGTTTTTCCTAGCCACCGTGCTTCTACATCTGCATTGCTTGCTGTTTGGGGTTTTAGGCGGGGTTTCTGTATAGCGCTTTGTGACATCTGCTGATGTAAAAAGGGCTTTATAAATACAATTTGATTGATTTTCTGTAAACTATAAACAGTGGCTTGCGAAAGCGTTCACCCCCCTTGGCATTTTTCTTATTTTGTTGCCTTACAACCTGGAATTAAAATTTATTTTTGGGGGGGTTGTATCATTTGATTTACACAACATGCCTACCACTTTGAAGATACAAAATCTTTTTTATTGTTAAACAAACAAGAAATAAGACAAAAAAAACAGAACATGAGCGTGCATAACTATTCACCCCCCCCCAAAGTCAATACTTTGTAGAGCCACCGTTGGCAGCAATTACAGCTGCAAGTCTCTTGGGGTATGTCTCTATAAGCTTGGCACATCTAGCCACTGGGATTTTTGCCCATTCTTCAAGGCAAAACTGCTCCAGCTCCTTCAAGTTGGATGTGTTCCGCTGGTGGACAGCAATCTTTAAGTCATACCACAGAATCTCAATTGGATTGAGGTCTGTGCTTTGACTAGGCCATTCCAATACATTTAAATGTTTCCCCTTAAACCACTCGAGTGTTGCTTTAGCAGTATGCTTAGGGTCATTGTCCTGCTGGAAGGTGAACCTCTGTCCCAGTCTCAAATCTCTGGAAGACTGAAACAGGTTTCCCTCAAGAATTTCTCTGTATTTAGCGCCATCCATCATTCCGTCAATTTTGACCAGTTTCCCAGTCCCTGTCGATGAAAAACATCCCCACAGCATGATGCTGACTCCACCATGCTTCACTGTGGGGATGGTGTTCTCGGGGTGATGTGAGGTGTTGGGTTTGTGCCAGACATAGCGTTTTCCTTGATGGCCAAAAAAGCTCAATTTTAGTCTCATCTGACCAGAGTACCTTCTTCCAAATGTTTGGGGAGTCTCCCACATGCCTTTTTGCGAACACCAAACGTGTTTGCTTATTTTTTTCTTTAAGCAATGGCTTTTTTCTGGCCACTCTTCCGTAAAGGCCAGCTCTGTGGCGTGTACAGCTTAAAGTGGTCCTATGGACAAATACTCCAATCTCCGCTGTGGAGCTTTGCAGCTCCTTCAGGGTTATCTTTGGTCTCTTTGTTGCCTCTCTAATTAATGCCCTCCTTGCCTGGTCTGTGAGTTTTGGTGGGCGGCCCTCTCTTGGCTGGTTTGTTGTGGTGCCATATTCTTTCAATTTTTTAAATAATGGATTTAATGGTGCTCCGTGGGATGTTCAAAGTTTCTGATATTTTTTTTATAACCCAACCCTGATCTGTACTTCTCCACAACTTTGTCCCTGACCTGTTTGGAGAGCTCCTTGGTCTTCAAGGTGCCGCCTGCTTGGTGGTGCCCCTTGCTTAGTGGTGTTGCAGACTCTGGGGCCTTTCAGAACAGGTGTATTTATACTGAGATCATGTGACACTTAGATTGCACGCAGGTGGACTTTATTTAACTAATTATGTGACTTCTGACGGTAATTGGTTGCACCATATCTTATTTAGGGGCTTCATATTAAAGGGGGTGAATACATATGCACGCACTACTTTTCCGTTATTTATTTTTGGTTTTCTTTGAAACAAGTTATTTTTTTTCATTTCACTTCACCAATTTGGGCTATTTTGTATATGTCCATTACATGAAATCCGAATAAAAATCAATTTGAATTGCGGGTTGTGGTGCAACAAAATAGGAGAAATGCCAAGGGGGATGAATACTTTTGCAAGGCACTGTACTTACTTCGATAGCCGAAATGGCATCAAGTCTATTGTCAATAAACACTGGCGTATATAATCATCAGACTCCTCTTTAGATTCTGGCTACTCACCTATAAACCATGAAGAAATGTATCAAACATATTGGTTAAATCAGATGTGGTCAGAGAGAAAAAAAAAGGCATTCATAAAGGATGTAGATCATGTACATCTCCTGAGTGGCGCAGTGGTCTAAGGCTGTGCCACTAGAGATCCTGGTTCGTATCCAGGCTCTGTCGTAGACGGCCGCGACCGGGAGACCCATGGGGTGGCGCACAATTGGCCCAGCGTCGTCCAGGGTAGGGGAGGGAATGGCCGGGTGTAGCTCAGTTGGTAGAGCATGGCGTTTGCAATGCCAGGGTTGTGGGTTCGTTTCCCACGGGGGGCCAGTATGAAAAAAATAAAAAAAAAAAAAATAATGTATGCACTCACTAACTGTAAGTCGCTCTGGATAAGAGCGTCTGCTAAATGACGTAAATGTAAAGCTATCAACTGCTATCAATTGTGTAGAGAATTAATGTGTTGATCAGATGCAGCTTCTGTGGGCCTCCCGAGTGGCGCAGTGGTCTAAGGCAGTGCTAGAGGCGTCACTACAGACCCGGGTTCGATCCCGGGCTGTATCACAACTGGCCGTGAGTCCCATAGGGCGGCGCACAATTGGCCCAGCGTCGTGAGGGTTTGGCTCGGTACTTGGTACTTGGCTCGTCGCGCTCTAGCGACTCCTTAAGCGGGTGGTTTGGCGGGTCATGTTTTGGAGGACACATGACTCGACATTCGGCTCCTGAGCCAGTTGGGGAGTTGCAGCGATGAGACAAGATCAAAATTGGGGAGAAAAAGGGGGTAAAATACAAATAAATAAAATAAAAAATAGATCCTGCTGCTTCTGGAATTGACTAAACACCTGTATATTTTTACAGTACAAGTACAAGCTGGAGTACGAGAAGGGAAGAGGCAAACAAGTCGGCTGCCGTAATCTTCAGGATGACCCCTTGCTAGTGCACTACATGCAGGTGGCCAAGATGCAGAGTGAGAGGAACTACAAGAAGGACTACCACAAGTCCAAGCTGAAGTACTGCTCCCCAGTTGACATGATGAGTCTTGCACATGCTAAGCAAGCCTCTGCAGTGCAAACCTATGCTGGCTACAGGAAGGTCCAACACCACTACACTCTTCTCCCTGACTCCATGAACCTTGCGTTGGCTCGCACCATGAATGTCAGTTCCAGTGATGTGAGTTAAGCAGTGTGACAGCAGTTACATAGTAACATAGTTCCAACTAAACATAGTAAACATTGGTGATCAATTATACATTGTTGCCACTCATATTATTGTTTTGCTAATCACCCTTTTTTCAACCCTAATGTCTTTCTCCAGCACGAGTACAAGTCTGACTGGAACAACTTCGTGAGAGGAACTGGATGGATTCCCATTGGCTCACTGCCGGTAGAGCTTGCAAAGGTTGGCTCGGACATCCAGAGTGAACATAAGTACCGTACACACCCCTCCAAATTCCAGTTCAAGAAGCTGATGGACTCCATGGACATGGTCCTGGCCACTGACAACAACAAGATCATGAACAAGGTATGCTCAGACCGGACGTGTACATTTGTGAAAAATAAAGCTGTTATCACAGTTTGTTTCTAATGTTGCGTCTCGTAATGATAGTTAATTGATAATAATGGTTAATTGATTGGTGAATCATTTTGATTGCAGCAAGAATACACTAAACAATGGCACAAGGACAAGCTCACAATCCATGTGATGCCAGATGCCCCTGAGATTATCCTGGCCAAGGCTAATGCTATCAACATGAGTCAGGTAAGGCTACCTTTTTCGAACATGTATGTTACCATCTATCATCAAAATATTCCTCTTTCTATGCATCATGCTTTTACAATATAACTTGAAATATGTCTTGGAACTTGAAGTATTTAGCAATTGTTATTTTGGTCATATTTTTATAAATAGTTTCTCCTCCATTCCAGAAAAGCTACAAAGCAGGTCTGGAGGCGATGTATAATAAGGGTTACGACCTGAAGGTTGATGCCATCGCCATCCAGGCTGCCAAGCAGGGCACCAAAATCGCCAGCGACGTGAGTGACTCAGACTAACAATAAACAATAAAAGGCTTTAAAACCATTTTACAATCTGCTCCAGCCTCTCCAACATCTGTATGTGTATGTGAGTCTATCAGAGGGGTTGGGATAAAACAGAAGTAGAATTTCCATTGGAACTTGTATACAATAAATTATTCTTCTTCGAAATATTAACTTTCGTCCTGGGAATAATACATTGTTTATTTACACAGTACAAGTACAAGCTGAATCACCAGAAGAATAGGGGAAAACAAGTCGGCTGCCGTAATCTTCAGGACGACCCCTTACTGGTGCACTACATGGAGGTGGCCAGGTTGCAGAGTGACAAGAACTACAAGAAGGACTACCACAAGTCCAAGCTGAAGTACCGCTCCCCAGTAGACATGATGAGTGTTGCACATGCCAAACATGCCTCCACAGTGCAGACGTATGCTGGCTACAGGAAGATCCAACACCACTACACTGTGCTTGCTGATGCCATGAACGTGGAGTTGGCTAAGCAGATGCAGACGATCGCCAGTGATGTGAGTAGTATTTTATTTTTCACTGACCATGATTTATCCACTCCCCTATTCTGAGCTGTTAAACCACATCCAAATCTGTTATAATTTAAAATTAAAATTAAATTTGTATTTTTTGCAGAATTTGTACAAAAGTGACTATGAGACTAGCATCAAAGGCACAGGATGGATTCCCATTGGTTCTCTGGATGTAGAGAAAGCCAAAACAGCTGGCCTGATTGGCAGTGAGAAACTTTACCGCCAACACCCCAGTGGCTTCAAGTTTACCAAAGACATGCACTCCATGGACCTCGTCCTGGCCAGTGCTAACAATGCCATCATGAACAAGGTCATTCTTTGTATCTATGTCTATGCATACTGTATATGTATACAGTATATTATATACAATACAAATACATGGTGATATATCAAAACACTAACAAATATATCTGTCTTATAGCAAACATACATTGACGCCTGGAATAAGGATAAGACCGCTGTCCACATGATGACAGACTCAATGGAGGTGGTTTTGGCCAGAGCCAACATGATCAACTGCAGTGATGTAAGTCATCCCTTCCGCACCTCATTGTAGTGTTCATTTAGGCAGTATTTTCATAATTCAGTCATTCAAAACATGTTTTGTCTTCTCCTGTACAGACACTGTATAAGCTTGCCAATGAACAGGACAAGAAGAAGGGTTATGACCTGCGCAACGATGCTATTGCAATCCAGGCAGCCAAACAGGGCACATCCATTGCTAGTGATGTAAGTAAAACACAGTTTTTTTAATGAAACCTTTTTTTTAATGAAACCTAATTATCAAATTTTTATGTATTAAGTTCAAATACAGGGCTGGCTACCGTAAGCAGATTGGCCACCACATTGGAGCCCGCTGCATTGAGGATGACCCTCTGCTCATGCTGGCTCTGAACTCAGCCAAGATTGCCAGTGATGCTCTGTACAAGAAAGACTTCCACAAGTCCAAGACGAGGTTCCATCTCCCATTGGACATGATGGCCTTCGAGTTGGCCAAGAAGAACCAGATTCAGGTCAACCATGCCAAATATGTAACTCGCCTGCACAACTGGACCTGTCTACCAGACTCCAGTGATGTCGTCCATGCCAGACATGTCTATGACATAGCGAGTGATGTAAGTATGAATTAAGTAGATCATGTTTTTCCAGTGTAATTGTCTTTATTCCGTCCATTTTGACCATTGTGGTATTGTTGTGTCTAGGCTGTGTACAAGGCTGATCTCAAGAATCTGCAAGGTATCGGATGGGTTCCCATCGGCTCACTTGATGTTGAGAAGGCAAAGAAAGCCGGGGAGGTCCTGAGTGAGAAGCTGTATCGTCAGCACCCAAGCAACTTCAAGTTCACCAGCTCAGTTCAAGACATGGGAATGGTTTTGGCTAAACAAAATAATGATAATGCCAACAAGGTATTTGGCTAACTTGTATATCTTTATTAATAATTTGCCCTTGAATGTATCCCCTAGTTGATTATATTCAAATAATGATTCCATCATTTAAACCTGCTTTAAGGTAATCTGATCTCCCCTACTTTGCATTATATTTGAGCCAATGATATGAAGAGGCACTTCATGTTGTTAGTTTGAACTTGAAACTCGTTATTGCAGCAAGCTTACACTGAGGCATGGGAGAAGGACAAGACCAAGAACCATATTATGCCAGATGCGATGGAAGTGGTTTTGGCCAATGCAAACAAATCCAACTACAGTTGGGTAAGTAAATGATAGCACAAAGGTAACCCTCCTGATGAATGTATACATTCAAAAAGAATACTTATTGTTTTTTTGTTTTGTTTTCTGTAAAGTGTGTTGTAACTTTGTTAAATGCACTTTAAATAAATTGTGATTTGATTTGATTTGAAATACCCATATATATGGATGTTTTTTTCTTGTTCTTCATACAGAACCAGTACAGAAAAGCAATGGAAGAGGATAAGAAGAAGGGCTATGATTTGCGCAATGATGCCATTGCTATCATCGCAGCCAAGCATGGCAGGGAAATTATCAGTGATGTAAGTTAATTGAACATCTATCCATCATAACCGATTATAGTTCTTTACTGTTTCATGACACAATACAAAAAATGTACTTCTGGGAAATAAAGACAATCCTCAAGACTGCCATTTCATATTTGCTTTCTATAGCACAAGTACAAGACTGGCTACCGTAAGCAGGTTGGCCACCACATTGGAGCCCGCTGCGTCGAGGATGACCCTCTGCTCATGCTGGCTATTAACTCAGCCAAGATTGCCAGTGATGCCCTGTACAAGAAGGACTTCCACCAGTCTAAGACCAAGTTCCACCTCCCATTGGACATGATGGCCTTTGAGTTGGCCAAAAAGAACCAGATTCAGGTCAACCATGCCAAATATGTAACTCGCCTGCACAACTGGACCTGTCTGCCAGACTCCAGTGATGTCGTCCATGCCAGACATGTCTATGACATAGCGAGTGATGTAAGTATGAATTAAGTAGATCATGTTTTTCCAGTGTAATTGTCTTTATTCCGTCCATTTTGACCATTGTGGTATTGTTGTGTCTAGGCTGTGTACAAGGCTGATCTCAAGAATCTGCAAGGTATCGGATGGGTTCCCATCGGCTCACTTGATGTTGAGAAGGCAAAGAAAGCCGGGGAGGTCCTGAGTGAGAAGCTGTATCGTCAGCACCCAAGCAACTTCAAGTTCACCAGCTCAGTTCAAGACATGGGAATGGTTTTGGCTAAACAAAATAATGATAATGCCAACAAGGTATTTGGCTAACTTGTATATATTTATTAATAATTTGCCTTTGAATGTTTCCCCTGGTAGATTATATTCAAATAATGATTCCATCATTTAAACCTGCTTTAAGATTATCTGATCTCCCCTACATTGCATTATATTTGAGCCAATGCTATGAATAGGTATTTCATGTTGTTAGTTTGAACTTGAAACTCGTTATTGCAGCAAGCTTACACTGAGGCATGGGAGAAGGACAAGACTAAGAACCATATTATGCCAGATGCGATGGAAGTGGTTTTGGCCAATGCAAACAAATCCAACTACAGTTGGGTAAGTAAATGATAGCACAAAGGTAACCCTCCTGATGAATGTATACATTCAAAAATAATACTTATTGTTTTTTTGTTTTGTTTTCTGTAAAGTGTGTTGTAACTTTGTTAAATGCACTTTAAATAAATTGTGATTTGATTTGAAATACCCATATATATGGATGTTTTTTTTCTTGTTCTTCATACAGAACCAGTACAGAAAAGCAATGGAAGAGGATAAGAAGAAGGGCTATGACTTGCGCAATGATGCCATTGCTATCATCGCAGCCAAGCATGGCAGGGAAATTATCAGTGATGTAAGTTCATTGAACATCTATCCATCATAACCGATTATAGTTCTTTACTGTTTCATGACACAATATATAAAATGTACTTCTGGGAAATAAAGACAATCCTCAAGACTGCCATTTTCATATTTGCTTTCTATAGCACAAGTACAAGACTGGCTACCGTAAGCAGGTTGGCCACCACATTGGAGCCCGCTGCGTCGAGGATGACCCTCTGCTCATGCTGGCTATTAACTCAGCTAAGATTGCCAGTGATGCCCTGTACAAGAAGGACTTTCACCAGTCTAAGACCAAGTTCCACCTCCCATTGGACATGATGGCCTTTGAGTTGGCCAAGAAGAACCAGATTCAGGTCAACCATGCCAAATATGTAACTCGCCTGCACAAATGGACCTGTCTACCAGACTCCAGTGATGTCGTCCATGCCAGGCATGTCTATGACATAGCGAGTGATGTAAGTATGAATTAAGTAGATCATGTTTTTCCAGTGTAATTGTCTTTATTCCGTCCATTTTGACCATTGTGGTATTGTTGTGTCTAGGCTGTGTACAAGGCTGATCTCAAGAATCTGCAAGGTATCGGATGGGTTCCCATCGGCTCACTTGATGTTGAGAAGGCAAAGAAAGCCGGGGAGGTCCTGAGTGAGAAGCTGTATCGTCAGCACCCAAGCAACTTCAAGTTCACCAGCTCAGTTCAAGACATGGGAATGGTTTTGGCTAAACAAAATAATGATAATGCCAACAAGGTATTTGGCTAACTTGTATATCTTTATTAATAATTTGCCCTTGAATGTTTCCCCTAGTTGATTATATTCAAATAATGATTCCATCATTTAAACCTGCTTTAAGGTAATCCGATCTTCCCTACTTTGCATTATATTTGAGCCAATGATATGAAGAGGCACTTCATGTTGTTAGTTTGAACTTGAAACTCGTTATTGCAGCAAGCTTACACTGAGGCATGGGAGAAGGACAAGACCAAGAACCATATTATGCCAGATGCGATGGAAGTGGTTTTGGCCAATGCAAACAAATCCAACTACAGCTGGGTAAGTAAATGATAGCACAAAGGTAACCCTCCTGATGAATGTATACATTCAAAAATAATTCTTATTGTGGAGATACTGATATCTATGGATGTTTTATTTTCTTCTTCATACAGAACCAGTACAGAAAAGCAATGGAAGAGGATAAGAAGAAGGGCTATGATTTGCGCAATGATGCCATTGCTATCATCGCAGCCAAGCATGGCAGGGAAATTATCAGTGATGTCAGTACTTATTTTGTTATCACGTTATCACAAAGGAACTGACTATATCAATACTGTGACACCTTTAATTTACTGAAATCCCCATTACACACTTTCTACCTTTTTGGTTCGGTATAGTACAAGTACAAGACAGGCTACCGCAAGCAGGTTGGCCACCACATTGGAGCCCGCTGCGTCGAGGATGACCCTCTGCTTATGCTGGCTCTGAACTCAGCCAAGATTGCCAGTGATGCTCTATACAAGAAGGACTTCCACCAGTCCAAGACCAAGTTCCACCTCCCATTGGACATGATGGCCTTTGAGTTGTGCAAGAAGAACCAGATCCAGGTCAATGACTTCAACTACAGAACTCACCTGCACAACTGGACCTGTCTGCCAGACTCCAATGATGTCGTCCAGGCCAGACATGTCTATGACATTAATAGTGAGGTAAGTTTCAAAAGTTCCTCCAGCTCTTTCCTGTAAAATTTGTACTCACATTGTTAATGAAACATCCTGGATTGGTCAAACCCAGTGATAAAAGGTTACCGATGGCAACATGTAATGGGAGTATGATATCCCTCTTAGGCGGTGTACAGGGCTGACATGAAGTGGCTCAGGGGAATGGGATGGGTCCCCATTGGCTCACTTGATGTGGAAAAAGCCAAGAAGGCCGCCGAGATCTTGAGTGAAAGGAAATACCGCCAGCACCCCAGCACTCTGGCCTTCAAAAGTCCCCTCGATGGCATGGATATCGTTCTGGCCAAAAGTAACGCCCAGATCATGAACAAGGTAAACTTCAACTAACTTCTTCCAACTAACTACACAGTTTCCTGTTACAGCAGAATTCAATAAAATAAGATCGATTTTGGGGGTTTTATGGAGCTGCTGAAAAAATGTGCAGTGTTTGTACACTAAGGCATGGGAGGACAAAGTCCACCCCAACATCAAGTCTAATACCCTATCTAATACTGTACATAGACACAGTGTCTAATACATATACTGAGTGTACAGCTCTTTCCATGACATAGACTGACCAGGTGAATCCAGGTGAAGGCTATGAACCCTTATTGATGTCACCTGTTAAATCCACTTAAATCAGTGTAGATGAAGGGGAGGAGACAGGTTAATGAAGGATGTTTAAGCCTTGAGACAATTGAGACATGGATTGTGTATGTGTGCCATTCAGAATGTGAAATAGCAAGAATAAAGATTTAAGTGCCTTTGAACGGGGTATGGTAGTAGGTGCCAGGCGCACCGGTTTGAGTGTGTCAAGAACTGCAACGCTGCTGGGTTTTTCATGCTCAACAGTTTCCCGTGTGTATCAAGAATGGTCCACCACTCAAAGGACATCCAGCCAACTTGACACAACTGTGGGAAGCATTGGCGTCAACATGGGCCAGCATCCCTGTGGAACGCTTTCGATACCTTGTAGAGTCCATTCCCCGACGAATTGAGGCTGTTCTGAGGGCAAAAGGGGGTGCAACTCAATATTAGGAAGGTGTTCCTAATGTTTTGTACACTCCGTGTGGATGCTTTTTTAACTATGTCTGTCACTCAGACCAGTCGTTTAGATCAAGGGTTCCCAAACCTTTTCACTCTGCCCCCCTTCCAGCTCCCCCCTGAGCACGCGTGCACGCGCCACGTCTATTTCTATGGGCAGAAGCACTGTTCATGACACAAACTGTTCACACCCCTCTTTTTGGTGGAGAGAATTTTGCAGGTTTAAAGCTTATTTCCTGCAATTCTACACATTTTGTCATTACATTTGTGGTGCAAAGAACATTTTACAGTTTTAAAGCCCATGTCTAATGTGTATTCATGTGATATTTGAGTGACAAAAAAATTACAACTAAATCTATGGGGTTAAAAACCTAAATAAAAAATGAGCTAGTTTATCTGGACATTTCTGACAAGTTATAAATAGCTCTCTAAGGTATTCAATGACTAACATGACAAGGAACTGATGATGCACTACCCAATTTCGAAATTGCACCTTGTGCATTCTACTATTACAACTTTCAAGAGTAAGTTTAAAGGGACCCTGGCAGGGGAGGGGGGGGGGACCCCGGCGCCAACCCCTGCCGACCCCTTGCACGCCCCACGGTTTGGGAACCACTGGTTTAGATGATCAATCTTTCATTTCTGTTTGCTTTTCTGTCTGTGAGAAATGAAGTGCAAAAAATATATTGTTGTTATTATTATTTTCTTATAACATAGCAATTTTTATCTCGTATTTCAGCGCCAGTATGTTGAACAATGGGATGCTGATAAGATCAAAATCCATGTCGGCAATGAGCTTCCAGAACTTGTGCTGGCCAAGGCCAACGCGATCACCATGAGCAACGTAGGTCCTCCTTACTTTACCTTAAGATGTTTTTGTTCACTCAAGTTGATCTAGTTGTATCTATATGTACTGTATATGTACTGTATAGCTATCTGATCTATATATCTGTCAACCTCTTCCATGTTTTGCGACTCGTTTTTCTTGTTCTTTCTCCTTTTTATAGAAACTGTACAAACAAGGATATGATGATACCATCAAGAAGGGCTATCACCTTCCTGTCGATGCTATCTCTGTCAAGGCTGCCAAGCACGGTAGAGAGATTATCAGCGATGTGAGTACTGTATTTTTGTCCCCCTTTTTTCACATTATTTTTTTCTCCATCATTTGACCATTTCCAAAGCCTTAAGCTACATTATCATTGATGTAAATTACATTTTTAAGACGTTTTCCTAATTATTAAAGTGCTAAGGAAGCGTTATACTAATAACAATTCCTGAATCAATTCCTGAAAAGTGAATAACTCAGGCATAAATACACTTGAAATGTCTTCTTTGAAACACTGACAAATTTATAAGGAAAAGACATTCAATAAGTGCACCCTTGTCTGACTGAAGAAGGTACACTCAAATTATCTTCTGATCTCTTTCAGTACAAGTACAAGTCTGGCTACAGCAAGCAGGTTGGGCACCACATTGGAGCGCGCTGCGTTGAGGATGACCCTCTGCTCATGCTGGCTATTAACTCAGCCAAGATTGCCAGTGATGCTCTATACAAGAAGGACTTCCACCAGTCCAAGACCAAGTTCCACCTCCCATTGGACATGATGGCCTTCGAGTTGTGCAAGAAGAACCAGATCCAGGTCAATGACTTCAACTACAGAACTAAACTGCACAACTGGACCTGTCTGCCAGACTCCAGTGATGTCGTCCACGCCAGGAGGGTCTACGATCTGCATAGTGACGTAAGCTCCTTCTCAATATACTGAATCAAATGTTTTGTTTCTTTTCCATTAACCCACTTACCATTTTTTAAAATGTAGTCAGTAAGTGTGATTGTTTGTTTGATTGATTGATGCTCTCCACTCCTCAGGCTGTCTACCATGCCGACATGGAGTTCATTAGAGGTACTGGCTGGGTCCCCATCGGCTCTCTGGATGTGTTGAAAGCCAAGAAAGCTGCAGAGATCCTGAGCGACCGCCTCTACAAGCAGAAACCAGATACTCTTAAATCACACCGTGACCATGCCATGCTGCAGGAACTGCGACTAAAGGGAAATCAATCAAAATG